GTGTAGAGGAAAATTCACTATTAAAATTCTAAAATATCGAATTTTCCAAAAAAAAAGTTGGTCGAATTGCCAATTTTCCCAATCACCCATCTCAATCTCAACAATCCCAATATCAATTTTTGACCTATGAAAAATAGAATGGCAGCCTCCATTTGAATGGCACCTCCAATTGAATGTCAATTTTTTGGGGTATTGAAAAATAGAATGGCTGCCATTCTATTAGAATAAATACGGTAGAAGGATTAGAAGTTAAGTTATTTGGGGGTTACAAGGATATCGAGATCTAACAATTTGGACAATTTAGTTTTGACGAAAAAGAAATGTTCAACGTGGCGCAGGCATAATTTTGGAGGGTTATTTATCGAGATTTTTTACTTCATCAGCGCCGGAGGCAAAAATTTTGAGAATTTAAGGAAGGCTGAGTAGCCAAAATTCTCACTTTTCTAGCGCCGCAGGCGAAATTTTTGGAATTTCTAGAGTTCAAGAGGGAAAATACTCCATTTTCCAAAAATCCCGCAAAATACAAAATATTTTGCGGGATCCCGCATGCGGGATTTTTTTTCAAAACTTTTGCGGGACAGGATTTGCGGGATAAATCCCGCAAAAATCCCGCATCCCGCAAAATCCTGCAAATCACAAAAAGTGCGGGATTGCGGACAGACATGCACGAAACTCCAAAATTTTTTCAGACGAAACGAAACGAAACAAAATTTTTTAAAAATCGTTTCGTTAACGAAACGAGACGAAACAGTATAAATTTAGCGAAACGAAACGAAACAAAACGACACATTTTAATTTTCAAAAAATCTAATAAAAACGGTTTTATTTTCTTAATTATTCGATTTTAGACACGTTAATAGGCCAGTTATGGCCTATAATTGATCTAATAGCTTAGTGGGACCTTAAATTTTGGTCCCAGGCTACTCATAATTCACTATATCAGCCTTAATTCCACCAAATCGACTTTAATCGAATTATGTGTTGAGAATATGTGTATATCAGGGACCTCCGACCCGTTTCCTGATTCCCTAAAATCGGGAATTAATTTTGTCGGAAATTACTGTCCCCTAAACCCGTTCCTGATTTCCGACATTTTTTAAAATTTTTTAAACCCTCCAAATCCACTGATACCTCGTTTACTCTCTCTCAATTTCCTATACCACCATTGCTCCCGCCAAATCCAATGAATTTCTCAACTCAGATATTTTTGTTAATAACAACGCCCATGATTAGGGTTGCCAAAATGGACCGACTCGGACCAAAAGATCGAAGCGGGCTAAGATATTTGGCCCGAAAAGACTCCTCTGGCCCGACTCGATAGAAACAGGCCCGAAAAAAGACAACCATATTCATGATCATTGCCATCAGTTGCGTTTTCTTTTATTGAAACTAAACTTTATTGAAACTCTTGCGCCTGCCCTGAATGGCATTAAGAGGTAGATCATTCTATGCCTAATCTATCATATTAAAAAAACAAAATCAAACGAGAAATTCAAAAAATATAGTAAATTATGCGCCATAGGCGCTTAAAATCCAGATTTTAGCGCCGCAGGCAAAAATTTTTTTAATTTTGAGCATCAAAGGGGGAAATTTTTCAGTTTTTGGTAATATTTTGGTCTAAAAAATGGGTAATGTTTCGTTAACGAAACGAAACGAAACAAACTAAAAAGTGTTTCGTCACGAAACGAGACGAAACAGGAAAAAACATAACGAAACTAACGAAACAACGAAACGAAACGAAACGTTTCGTGCATGTCTGATTGCGGACGCGGGATCCCGCAAAATCCCGTGCGGGATCCTGTCCCGCGCCGGTCTCTAGGTTTAACTAATGAGAGAGAGTTCCCCTCGGTGACACTCAAACTCTGCGATAAAATCGGCACTCAAACGTTATTAATTATTGGCACTGAAACTACCGTGAATAAAGTACAAAAAGTTGAGTGTCTAACGTCTCTCTTCACTTAAGCACACTATTTTTCAATCGCTTAGTTTTTAACCCGCTGTGTGAGAGGGCTCCCCTACAAAGGATAGATGAATTAAAGGATAGATGCGCTAAAGGATAGATACGGCCAAAAACTATCAAAGGATAGATGCATCAAAGGATAGATGCACTAAAGGATAGATACGGCCAAAAGCGATCAAAGGATAGACAGCTGAATAGGTCGTTTGAGTCTGGACAAAAATGTTTAATAATCTGAATCTTCGCTGGAAAAACTGTTTTTGTGCTGCTACGGAGGGTAGGCCGGGCATGGTCTTCGCTACACGATGGCCGTGCTTCGCTGCGGTCGTGCTCGCTTCGCTCGCGGCGACTGTAGCGAAGCGGCGGCCGTCGTTCCGCTCGACATGCCCGGCTTCATCCGCAGCGGCAAAAACTTTCCGCGAATATACTAAAGTACAAATAAAATAAAAATCAGAACAGAAACATGAAATCAGAACAAAGATCTGAAAAAAAACAAACAAAGATCAGGCACTCAACAGTTGGTACTCAACTGGACTCCAAACTTTATCTATGTTTTACCCAATTTTAGACGTGTCTATACTTTAATGGATTCTACCCCTATCTATCCTTTGGCGCATCTATCCTTTGATGCATCTATCCTTTAATCGTTTTTTGCCTTATCTATCCTTTAGCAGCTTTTGGCCGCGTCTATCCTTTGATCGATTTTAGCCGTATCTATCCTTTGATTCATCTATCCTTTGAGCGGGCACGGTGTGAGAGTCCCGGCCCCATAACTCAAGTATGGGTTGATATTTTTTTTTCCTTTAAAGAAAGGGCAATTTGAAGAAATTAAAAAATTAGCTAAAAAGAGATTAAGAGAATTTAAATAGTTTTTGCTGTTTAAAATTTGTTTTTTAAATTATAATTGAAAAAATTGAGACGGGTTTTTAAAAATGTATTTTTTAATCTGTTAAAGTTATTTTTATGACTCGTTATAAAGATTTGATTTATCTTTAATAAAAAGGGCCCAACAAGGATTTCGGTACTTGTCCCTTTTCCGAATCCGAGAAAAATTTTAAGAACTCAACTTGGACTCCGAGTGACATCTTTGATTTGTGTCTGTATTAATTATCCACAAAAATCTACAAATTACAGAAATTAATTTTTTTTTCTCATTCAATAAATTTATTAGATATTTTTTGTTTCTCTTATAATTTGCAAATCTCTACAATCCTTTATTTAAAACAAGTTTTTCTATACTTGGAACTTTATTATTTACACAAAATTTTGTTTTTAATTGTATAATATATTTGCTACTTTTATTAGCCCGATTAGGGACAGAGGGAGAGAGAGAAGGACATTGTGCTTTTAAATAAATTCGAGATGTGGATGAGGAAATGAAGAAAAGGTGTTGGTTGTTGCTTTTTTCCTAAAAAGAGAATTTTTGTTTCTTTCCAAAAAATAAAATATTAATTAAAAAATAAAATTTTTAAATATGTTTTTTTCAATAAATTCTAAAAAATATTTTTTTCCGAAATTTTTAATTGAATTATTTCTATACTTTTCGGTAATTCTCTTAATTATTAAATTGGATTAGAGATCGGAACGGGTGGATAGAGATCGGAAGTGGACCCGTTTCCCGGTTTTCGGGTCCCTTTCCCCGATTTTTTGAAGCAACCGGGATGAAACCGTGAACGGGATTTCCCGGTCCGGGTCCCTCCCGGTCAACCTTTAGAACCCGGTTCCCGGACCCGGTTTTTTCAAAATTCCGATCTCTAGATTTAAAAAATTGTTATATGTAATTTTCTTTTAAAATAGGCAATAGTGTCTTTAACTGAAGCCACAGGTTTCTGTAATAATTGTCAATGTTGTTCCTCTACAAATCATTTAACAAACGGGCAATATTCTGAAGGGAACGAAAATGAAATAAATTCAAAGTTTTTCTAAAAATTTAAATGAAAAAATTTTTCTCTCAATTTAAAGCCGAAATGACCACTTTGCCACTTCCCCACAACTAACATTTTCTATCCCAAATGCAAAGCCAATTCCTCTACTCGAAGCAGAAAATGGACTACAAAAATATTACAAAATAGATTATAATGGAATTAATCCAACAAATTTAAATCAAAAATCATTTTCCCCTTCAAAAACCCTTTTATTTCCAATTCCCGTTGCTGCTTTGATTGTACAGCCAAACAGTTTATCTCAAATTGGTTGTAATTGTTTAAAAGGAAATTCTGTTAAACCCCAAATAATTGAGGAAGATGTCCCTGAAGAGAATTGTGAAAGTAGATGTGAAAAATGTACGGGGGGAATAAATGAAGAAAGTGGGGGAGATGAAGGAGGAAATAATTGTTGTGATGAATGCCAAAATATTTTGTTGAAAAATTTAAAAAAAGAAGAGGGAAACAAAGGAGAACACCAACAACAACAACAATTAATTTTCCATCAAGAACCTGAAAATAATAAAATTCCGTTAGAGGCATGTTTAATTATTTGGATATTCCAAGTTTTGGTTCCCACAATTTTTATTCTCCCTAATTTTCTTTTTTTTGTCTGTGTTCAAGTGATTAAAGTTACAAGTGTAAGGAAGAGAAAGATTTAGCTGGCTAGCATTTAAAACGCTCACTAGGCGGGGGTTTAAGATCTATTAAAATAGTTGGTAGAGCACCTCAGTTGGTAGAGCACCTGTACGTGGTGAGCGAAAGTGCCTAGCAATCACTGCCAGGAGGTCGCAGGATCGAAGCCTGCATGGGATTAAACGTCTACCTCGCTCTTACTTAAGGACTTTTGTATCAGCGGTCTATTATAAAATGTTTAAAAATTTCCAAATTAAATTTTGTCTTAATGTTTGCTGCGGACTAAAAATGTAAAAGTTCCGTCACCATAAATCCAAGTCTCATATATAAAAATCCCCAAAATTAATCCGAATTTTCAAATTTTTGCATAAATAAATAATAAAAATTCCAGATCTTCAAAAATTTTGTCACCAAAAACAGAGATGGTCTTCTACCTCCAGAAAACAACAAAATCCCCAACACTTTCCAAGAAGAAAGTTTAGAAACCCTCAAAAGAAGATTAAAAGATATTTCAGAAAAAATGGATTTATTAAAACAATTAAATGAAGAAATGCGTTCACCAATACAGCAACAACAAACACAAAATCACAGAACATTTCCCCTTACAAAACCAATATTTTATGGAAAGGAGGAAGAAATTGGGGAGAATAATAATTTAAATTTAGGACAAAAATCAACTGAAAAAGGTTGATATTTAAATTGAGAAAAAGGAAAAGGAAGATACCTAAAAGAAAAATTATTTTCGAGAATTCCATTCATTTTTACCCAAAACAAAATTCCTTATTAGAAATCAGAAGATTTTAACTCAATCAGAGGTTTAAATTGAGAAAAAGGAAAAGGAAGATACCTAAAAGAAAAATTACCATCATACTATAGTTCTTTTTCGATGTAGTAAAGCAGCTGGGCTATAGCTATTTCTTTCCTTTAGCTAGTGCAAAAGGTTAATCGGCGGCTGAGGGCAAACCAGCATCTTCAGTAGACCGAACCATTACATCAGGCCGCTACTGCATAGCCTTAGGAATTAAACAGCTATATGCTTTACATTTTTAAGAAAACTTCTAATTAAAAATTTTTTGATATAAAATTGTTTTTTTAAACGAACAGAAAGTGACATTAAAAATAATATTTTAGAACAACAAAAACAATTATTTTTTGCTCCTTCCAAGTTTGAAAATGAACAAAGGATTAAACCAAAAATTAATTCAGAGGCCTCAACAATTCCAATAAATAATGAAAATATAAATAACAAAACGGTTGAGAAAAAATTTTTTTTAATTTTTTAAATTAATTAAAGAAATTAAAAATAATATTAATTTTAAAATTCAGAGTTTTTTCTCCCAAAAAAATATTTTAAACCTTAATTATCTACATATTTTAAAATTTTTAGATTAACAACAATTTGGGAACAATAAATAATTCAAATAATTTACCGACTAGCCAAAATGGTCAAAAATTGCTTTTTAATGTTTTAAACAATATTATTCAACAAAAGAAAAATGAAGATATAAAATCAGCAATTAATGGACAAAAACAAACTGAAATAAATGTTGATCAAACAACAAAAATTTTATTTTCTCCAAAAAATAATTTGGTAGAATTTCCAAATAAAACAACAGAAATATTAAATAAATTAGAAGAGAATTCTGCGATAAATTTACATTTTCCAGAATTAAAAATAAATAAAGAAAAAAATAATTTAACGGTGAGGAAGTAAATTAAAAGCAACTTTTACGTTAAAACTAGAGTTGTTCACGACCGGTTTTAAACCCGAAAATTTTCAAATTTTTTTTGCCAGCCGATTTTAAAAAATTTAAAAAACCAAAAACTTCTGAAAATGAGTGGTGTTATTAAGAATTTCCACTAAATAAAACCGGTATGTATCTGCCTAAAACTCAAAAATCGGAAATCGGTTTTTTTTTATTTGGACAAGGGGTACTGATTAACAACCCTAGTTAAAACCTACATATCATTTGATTACCTGAGGAAAATTAAGGCGGGGAGAGAAAGGAGTTGAATGCAGAAAAAATCCATTTTTACAGAAGCTTTTTGCGGACTTGTAGGCCCCGAGCTGGATATTTACCGAAAACTCTCAATTAAATTACAAAACATTTTTAATTTTTTAAATTAAAAATTCAGCCGCCCAACAACTTAGAGCTTCATTTACCTTCTCCCCCACAACTTCCTTTAAGTACACAACTACCAAATATGGATTTAACATCTTCTATTATTCCAATTACAACACAAAATTTCCCAAAAGAACATTCATTATATGTTCAAGGGGGAATGGTACAAAGACAACAACCACAACCATTAAATGACTTTGAAAATTTAAATTCTGCAACTAATGGTAAAATTAATCGTTAATTTTGTGGATGTATTTACTGACAATGAGTTTTTATAAAATAAGTAAATCAAAGGAATGGGGCCATTTTGTGGATACTTTTAACTGTATATTCAGATATGTCCTATCCCTTTTCGCTTTCTTTCCATCGTTACCTCAATTCAATCCCAAGAAATGTATTTAATTGGTCTTATCCATCAACAAGGTTCGGATCGAGGGATAAAAAAGAAACAAATTTCCCCGTCCCCCCTCCCCCGTGGCGCTACCTCCCCGAAAATTGTTCTCCGTGCCCCCCCCCCCCTGTCGGGGAACAACCCTAATTCCATGAATTAAATTAGGTACTTATTCACCATCCTTTTCTTTTACAAAAATTCTGGTTTCAAAAACTGAAAAAGACAAAAACAGAAAATTTATATTTCCCTGAGGATTACAACTAAAATATATTCTTTAATTTTCCCCTTTGTATTAAGTTTTGAATGATGAAGTTAAAAAAGAAAAACAACAAAAATTATTAAATGAAAAACAAATGTTGTTGTCCTCTTCTTCTTCTTTTCCTTCTCCTTCCTCCTTTAATTTTGAACAAAACAAAACTTTAAACGAAAATTTCGAAAATATCCAACTAAATAATTCAACAAATCAACAACCAAGTAAGATAAAAATTGAAAAAAATTTTTTTGAAGAAATAAAAATATAATAGAATTTTTGAGTATTCGGCAAATAAAAAATGGAGAAAATGAAATTGGTGGAAGTGGTGGATATTTTGTGGAAGAAGAGAAGGAAGGAATTAGTAATTATTGTGGAAAAATTAATTTTAATTTGATTCTACAAAATTTAATTGTAAATTTGTTTTTTATTGTTTATATATTTTTTACTTGATTTGTTTGGGAAAATAAAAGAATTAAAAATTTTATAAAATAATTTTATATTTATTCAAGAAAAAAAGACAATGAAATGGATGGACACTTACATACTTGTCTTAATAAAATATACCGTATAACCTGTACTAATTACCCTCCCTATAATATTTACCCAGCCTCTATTAATTACCCCTTTTAGTAGAAGGTCGAAACAATAATTACCCAGGGTAGTTATTAAAGGATATAAGGTATGTCAGGTCAATAATAAATTAACTGGTTAACTGTTAAATTGTATTCTTTACTTGATTTGCTTGGGAAATCTAAAAAAAGGTTTAAAAAAGGTTTTCTTCTGTGGATTTAAATTTATGGGCTCTAATTTTTCTATCTACATTTACTCCGAGTCGATATTATAAAATAATTTACACTGTGATTTTCGTTCGAGTATTCGAAGGGTTCTTTTATTTCTTTAAAATCTCTTCGGGTTAAATATCAACCCTATTTTGGGTTCGAGCTTTAATGTTTTGACTCTCCTGGGTTAATTTAAAAAATTAATCAAAAAATCCCAAAAAATTAAAAAAACGAATTATGTATAATTGATTTTTTACTTATGTGTCATTACGCAAATTATTTTCCGCATATTTTGAATCCGCAAAATTAGTCCGCAAGATTCTGGTCCGCAAGGTTCGCGCCACGAGATTTTAATTTATGGGACAATTTTAAGTTATAAAAATATAATTAAGGTAATTTAAGCTAACATGGCTTAAGTAAAATGTTTTTTTTTTGAAAAAATGGAGATTTGATTGAGTCTCATTATTTTTATAAGCTTTGAACCTTTAAATAAAATATTCCCCAATCAATTTTAGTTTTTTTTTCTCTCAATTTTATTTAAGTGAAAGTGGGAATTTTCCGAAGATTATCCTGTTTATTGTCAAAAATAAATAAAAATCTTTTTCTGATTAAGAGCCTTATATTTTCTTACTGTAATTTAATTTTTGGCGTTTTGATTTTTAAAAAATTTGAGGAAATTCAGTTTAATTGTTCTGAAATTTTAATCTTTTTATTAAAAATTTAAATATTCATTCTATTTTTTTATTAGACATTCTCGATTTTTAAAAAATATATTTAATTGTAAATTGTGTGTGAAAGCTTTTACATATAGTCATTAAAATATAAGGAAGTAATTTTTCACAATTTATTTCCCACAAAAACTTATCATCATTTTTTACACATTTTTATACTTTAAACTTTGATGTTGATGCCAAATTTAGTTTTTTTTTCTCCTTTTCATTCCTATCAATCTTTTGTTAGGAGAATTTTCGATCCTTTGGCTAACATTATATCTAAAAATAATTTTTTTAGACAATTTAATCTTTTTTTTCTATACAAATATCCAAAAATCCTTGGTTGTCATTTCTTCCATATATTAAGTATTTTTACATGTTCCTCCCCAGAATTTTGCACTTACAGGCCTAGTAACACCATATTATTTTCTACATTACCAGTATTAACTCTCATATTTTTAGCATTATTTCTGTTGTTGTATATTGATTTAAAGCGACACTTCCCTTACGGCGAGAGACTAAAAATGCAGTACGCAAAGTCAGGCCTATTCCCCCTACTTTTTTCTTCTTATACCGCCCGTTGCTACCCGACTGACGATATAAAACACGCCTTTATTGTCAGCGGCAGAAGAGGCTTTTGCCTGCTGTCCCTTTTTTTGTGTGTTCTCGTTTCTAATTAATCGATTAATTCTCGAAGTAAAACTATTTGTGTGAGCTATTTTACATGGACTTGTGTGTGTGTGTGTTATTTTATAAAATAAATTTCCCTCAAGGTGTGATACTTTAAATAAAAAATTTTTTCTTTCTCAGTTAGCTGATCCAACAACCATTTTTTTCCTTTTTAAAATCTAAATTTGGTATTTCTGTATTTCATTTATTGTAGTAAAAGGATGAATCAAAATAAGAGATTACAGTATTCACAAGTTTGTTGAAATTGTGAAAGTTTTGAATAAAAAATAATATTTTAAAGGATGTGCACACAGTTAGGGCAGCAACGCCTACTTCCGGAACGGAAAGAAATATAGGCATGTTAATTAGAAAATTAAATCTTTGATTGGAGTTTGTGAGAATTTGAAGGGTTTCGAGTAGTTTTGAACTCGAACTTTTTCTTGTTGGGTTGCCTGAAAGGTGTTGAAATTCCTCTTAAAATTAAACTACTCGAACAATTATTCGGTTACTTTTATAGTTTTTTACACACTAAGAGATCTGGGGGGGGGGGTATTCCAATATCCGCCATTTGCCAGAAATGACAAACCATCGCCATAAAATGGCATTGGCAATTGGCGGATATTGGAACAGAAAGCCGCCATTTCCCATTGAAAATATTGAAACAGACTTTTCTGGCGATGGCAAACCATCTCCATTTAGGCGATGGCAAATGACGGAGGGGGCCCCTATTCTGAATTAAATTTCCAAAAAATCTAAAGCCCTAGCTTGACATTTTTTCTCATTTTATTATTTTTTTCAGACTTGCAATATGCAGACTCCAAAGTTATTGGAAATGGGTCTTTTGGAGTTGTTTATCGAGCTAATTTGGTAAATCTTAAGAGAAAAAAGAAATTTTAAATCAATTTTTAGGTTCATTCAAATGAAGATGTTGCAATTAAAAAAGTTTTACAAGACAAACGGTTTAAGGTTTTTTTGAATTTATTTTTGTATAAAAATATTTTTTTCTTCAAATTTTTAGAATCGAGAACTTCAAATTATGAGAAAACTAGACCATCGAAATGTTGTCAAATTAAAATATTTTTTCTATTCTGCCGGTGACAAGAAAGAAGAAGTTTATTTAAATTTAATTTTGGAGTATGTACCTGAAACTGTTTATAGAGGTTTGGTTATTTAAATATATTGCTTATAGACCTATATAAGAGTATTGTTGTTGGGGCCCATTTTTAAAATCAACCATTTAGTCCAAATAGGTCAGCCAATTGTCTCATTCTTTGATAAAATAAAAATTGCTAATTCAAAGCAGGGATGGGACGGGTTGAGAAATCAGTCGGGTCGGGTTTTGGAATTTTTCTTTGGTTGGGTTTCGGGTCGAAAAAATGTTCGGGTTTCGTCCCATCCCTGATCCAAAGGAATAATTTGAAAAACTCTTTACTAGTCCTTTTTGTTCTTCTCTTGTCCTAAATGCTAATCCTTTTTTCAAATTGTTAACTAGAATTATTCTTAATTTATAGAGATCGGCACAGGACTGGCCCTGCACAGGATTTTTCAGGATCCTGTCCAAAATCCTGCCTTTTTTCAGTTTTCAGGATTCCAGGATTTTCATTATTAATCCTGCAGGATCCTGTCCTTTTCGAAATTTTAAAACCCAATCCTGATACAGGATCCTGCAAATGCGATTACCCGATCTCTATTAATTTACTTATTTTTATAACTTTTTAAATTACTTGACTGATTGAATGCCGTAAATAATTTATATAAATTTAGCAGGTAAGTGTGAGATTATATTTCCAACTTTGTGTTTGACCCGATTAGGAAAACTGACAAGAAATATTTTTTATTCAACTAAAACTAGTTCGTGTTCCCATCTTTTGGTTGATTTTTCTTTATCAATTTCCCAATAAAAAATATTTTCAGTTGCTCGTCATTATGCCAAACAAAGGCAGATAATTCCAATTCTTTACAATAAAGTTTATATGTACCAACTATTTCGTGCTCTAGGATATATCCACAGCATTGGTTATTTTTAAATAAAGTTTTTTATTTATCAATTTTTGTTTTTTAGGTATTTGCCATCGTGATATAAAACCTCAAAATTTACTTTTGAATGCTCAGACTTCTGTTTTAAAGGTTTTTAATTTCAATTAATTTGAGTTATATTTTAAGGGGAGTTTCATCGTAAATAAATCTTTTTTGAAATTAGCAGCTAGGATTTTTCTGGTTCCTCGATTCATTAAATTTTTTTGGGTCCTATTTGACTGTAGATTTGCGGACAAATTTTTGCGTATACTCCTATTGTAAAAATTTGTAGATATTAGAGATTGAGCTGGGTCTGGATCAAGGCCTGGGTTTTTCCTGTACTCAGAGTCCAGGCCCAGGCATTATTGACTTTACTCGGGTTTTTCTGGACTACACGCCGAGGATCCTACTTAGATCAATAAAAAAATAACCCAGTAACAGGCCTAGACGTTTCAAAAATCTCGATCTCAAGTAGATATCTTTACTTCATTTCTTACTTCTTTTTATCCAAAGATTTAACATAAAAATAAATTATTTATTTTTAGCTTTGTGATTTTGGATCAGCCAAAATGCTTGTTCCAGGAGAACCAAATGTTGCTTATATATGTTCTCGGTTTTGTTTTTAATTTTTATTTTAATTTAAACTTTTCCTTTTAGTTATTATCGTGCTCCAGAATTAATTTTTGGAGCGACTGACTACACAACAAAAATTGACGTTTGGTCAGCAGGCACTGTTTTGGCCGAACTTCTTTTGGGGCAGGTTTGTAATTTATCAGATAAATCGAAATCTTTGTTATATTTTTGAAATTCTATGGGGTTTTCGTATGTCCCAGTGAGACATGAAACTTCCTAAATTTGCTCGGTTATCCCTTCATTTATATTATTACATAAATACCTTAAAATTTAAACTTTCAATTTTTAGCCTTTCTTCCCTGGCGATTCTGGTATTTACTCATTTTTTGTTTTTTCTTTAAAATTAAAAATTGCAGGAGTTGACCAGCTTGTAGAAATAATTAAAGTATTGGGAACACCTTCGCGTGATGAAATTGAACAAATGAATCCAAATTATACAGAATTTCGTTTTCCAATGATTCGAGCTCATCCTTGGTCGAGGGTAATTTTTTTATTTAAAAATTCAAGAAAAAATCTTTTAAGGTTTTCCGTGCACGTACACCCGCAGACGCAATCGATCTAGTCTCGAAATTGTTGAAATACACTCCTGATGCTCGTTTGAGGTTTTTTAAATTTTCATTTTTTCAAATAAATTTTCTTTTTTTAAAGCCCGTTCGAAGCACTAGCTCACGAGTTTTTCGATGAATTGCGGCTGCCGAATTGTAAGTTGCCCTCTTCTAATCCAATGCCACCATTGTTTGATTTCTCCGATGCTGAATTGGCTATTGATCCGCAACTTCAGGATAAGGTTTGGAATTTTTAGGGAGAGAGTTTGGGCAACGATCAGTGTAATCCTTTCCAAATCATTAAAAGGGGCAAAATTGGCCAAAAAGAGGCGAAAAGGTGACATATAAAAAATAGGGAAAAAAGGGGCGAAAAAGTCAAAAAGGGGGAAATGCCCCCTAAAGGACCCTGGTAACGATTTGTTATTCTCTCACAATGAGTTAACCATTACTTTTACTATAATTACTCTTTGTTAAAAGGACCGGCAGAGGTCTTTTTCATATTTTGGAGGACCCTATCCCTGAACCAATTTTAAATTTTAAAAATTCTCCACCCTCTGTTTTTAAATGAAAATTTTTTCCGATCAGCATTTTTGAAGCACTGCTTTTTCAAAATTTAGGATTTAATCTATTCCTTAATTTCACTAATAAATTTTTTCTTTTAGCTTTTCCCCAAATATGCAGCACAGCAACAAGTTTGTAGTACACCAAGTTTGGCAACTGGCTCAATGGAGAATTTTACCGGGGTTGGTGGGAATGTTATAAAAATTTAATTGAATTTATTTCTTTTTTAATTTAATCTCAATTTTTAGGGCGGTAACCACAAAGTAGAGCCAGAAGCAAAAGGAGAAATGTCTTCAACTTCAGAACACCAAGAGAGAGTATCAACAGAATTAGATAACAGAAAAAAATCTTCCTCAACGCCAGGAGGAGGTTTGGAAGCTGTAAATACAGCCACATCTTCTGTTATCAATACAAGTTCTGTTGCGAATACTTCAGATTATGTTACATCTTCTGCTCCATTGCAAGGATAAGAGTTAAGGGGAAAGGAAAAATTTTTATTTGGCATTTGACTTTTTTTGGGGAGAGAGTGAAAATAAGAAAAGGAGAGAAAAAAATAAAAGAAAAATTAATTTTCTGGTCGTCAATCAAAAAATAAAAAATAAATCCAAAAATTACCTCTTTTTTGGCCAACTTTCCTTTTTTTCTTTTTTTTGTTGTTTATTTTGCATTTATTTAAAAGTTACAGAAAAGAGAAATTTATTAGATAATTTATTAAATTGAAAAATTCTTCAAAAAATCACCGTCAAAGATGAAAACCGTTACACCTTTATGTTTAGTTTTTTTTATTTCAATTTAAAACTTAAGTCGTTCGGAAATGGGGGGGGGGCGGGATCTTCACCGGGCAGAATGGTGAAGAACAACCACAAAAGTAATTTTCACTCTGTAACTTTTTATGTGTAATATCCACATACATAAATATATTTAAACTTAATGTTTAATCTTTTATTAGGAATTAAATAAAAGCCATTTTTCAAAAAGAGGTATTTTTCAAAAAAAATTTCGGAAACAAAAACACAATTCTTTCTTTTACTACTATGTATATTATATATTTCATCACCTCCTTCTTTCCCTTTTCTTTTGACTTGTATTTTTTTTTGTCTTTTATCTTTAAAAATAAAAAATTGCCATTCACGGCAACTTTCTTAAAAAAATTTAAAATTCAAAAACATGGATTTTTTCTCACTCAAAAATATATAATCATCTTTATATTTTCAATTTGTGTTAACATTTGTACGTTATTTTAAAGTATACTTACATATGTTTGCACGATAAATAAATGTGGATAGTGTTTTGTATTTATTAGGGTTGTTCCCAGTTATGCGGGGTTCCGGAACTGGAACCGATAGATGCCTGGAACCGGTTTGGACCCGTGTTCCGAAACCGGTTCCGGTTCCAGAAGTAGAATTGGAACCGCCAAAATTAAAAATCCGTTCACTTGTTGCGAAGTTTTTAAAGAATTTATTTCCAGTGAATTTTTGGTTTTCGGAATCCAATACAAGGATCTTTTGGTAAACATAATAATTAGAGGCCGGACTTTATTGGAATTTATTTCCTCGTTTCCATGGAAACGAGTTCAATTATTTTTCTTTTTCTCTTAAAAAGTCCATGATTTAAAAAACTTTCTAAATTAATATTTTGTGAAATAAATTTAGATTAGAGAAGTATTTATATATCAATTTATCACAACATGACGATACCAATTATGTATCACACACAGAAAACAAATAGTTACAATACTATGATATGTATTAGATTAATTTTATATTAGAAATTCGATTTATCAGGATAATTCTCTTTCTCCGCACAAGTATCGTCCTAGCGTGTTATTGATGCTCACAGCAGCTTAGCCACGGCTACTAAAAATTCAAAAATTGTTTTATAAACAAGTCTCAAAACTTACCGTGATAGTCCGCCTTTTGCTCATGTCTTACCAATCTCATCACGGACACTAAAACGGAATTTTTTGCAATTTTTATGTAAAGCGAAAAAATTCACCGTTAAAGAACATCACGGGCACGATTAACATCCTTTTCGTTTACAATCCCACTGCGGACAGCCAGCTCAGGAATAGTTTAAAAAGAAACTGCGATAGGCGATTCAGAATATCGTAACGAGTATCCTTGCACAACAATAAAGTAGCAGAACAAAAATGTGTTTATTACACAAAAAATATGTACAATAAGGTTGAATAGAATAAGGTTGGGATAACAATTAAAAGACACGGACTGACAATTAAGTGTGGCTTTTATAGTATTTTAATAAGGTTTAAATATTAGCCACCACTACAGAACACCTCCCTCTTTGAAAGGCTTATTGGATGAGAAAAAATTAGTTTTCGTAATTTGTAGATTTTTAAGGCTAATTAATAAAGACACAAATCAGGGATGTCACGCGGAGTCACAGTTGAGTTCTCAAAAATTTTCTCGGATTCGAAAAAGGGACAAGTCAAATATGTACCGAAAACCTGGCTAGAACTCTTTTTATTAAAGACAAATCAAATCTTTATAACAAGTCATAAAAATAACTTTAGCAGATTAAAAAAATACATATTTAAAAACCCGTTTCAATTTTTTAAATTATAATTTAAAAACCAATTTTAAAACAACATTAAAAAACTATTTAAATTCTCTTAATCTCTTTTTAGCTAAATTTTTAATTTCTTCAAATTGCCCATTCTTTAAAGGAAAAATATCGTTTGGTCCAACAATTATACCTCCTCTAGTTGATTGAAAACATTCAAGCATTTCTTCCATTTCTAAAATAAAAAATATAAAAAATAACAACAAAAAAACGATATAGTAAGGTCCTCATTCCCCAAGAAAAAATTTTAAATAATTCTAATCTTAAAAAGAGGAGGGTATAAGTTTATGTCCCCAAACACCTCCTCCTCTACTTACTTGGAATACAATTATTTTTCAAATTATTGCTGTCACAAATTAACATAAATTGATATTTTGCTTTTGATAATCCAAAATTCCAATTTGTTAATAATTTTAGATAATCATTCTCCGTACTAGCAAATTCATTGTCCAAAAATGCACGAATATAAACCGAAAAATGAAGTCCAGAAAGCATTCGCGGGACTCGACTGCAAATTCGTTTTGATTTGGATAAATTATGTGGCCAAAGAATTCCTAAAAAATTTTGAATAAATTTATCTTTTCTCCCCTTCATTTTCTATCTCTAATCAACATTGTAGAATCAAGGACATAACAAGTCTTATATATAGTTTTTTAATTTGAGAAGCTGGCAAGGGCGTAGCCAGGGGGCTTTTGGGGCTAAAGCCCCCCCCCCTCGAAATGGGGAAAAGGGAAAAATTTGAGGGGGAAAAGAGAAAAACACCCCAAAAAGACAAGGCTTTTAGATTATTCTCCAGATTCGTGAGTGTCCCCTATAAAATCAAACATTTACCAAAAACTTCTTCCAAAATAAGATGATGATAAAAACTGCTCAAAGGGCAAGCAATTTCCTTTGGATCAATTCCATTATCAATTAAAAGATTAATGTGTTGGGCAGTTATTAGAGCCATTCCCCGATTTCGAAAAGCTTCGTATTTATATTGGACATTTGTAATAGCAACCTTTTCTGACTAAAATTGAGCAATTAATTTCAAAATTGGATATAGTGTAGTGTACCGGTGGTAAAAGTTCGAGACGTGACATATGTCATTCGATTCGTTTCGACGAGCTGAGTCGAACGGTCCACTCTCAACTTTAGGAAATGATTCTGGGCCGAGTTATAGGTCCCGAAGGTAGTGCGAAACTTGCGGACCGACTTTTGCGGACCAGGGGTTTATGTTTTTGTTTTTCTATCGTAACTTTGTCCAAGCTTGTACAATCACGATGATTTTGATGTCATTCGACTCAGCTCGTCGAGCTCTTTCGAATGAGCTATGTTTTGAGAAATTCGTCGGGTCTGCAAGTTTCGGTCCGCAAAAGTCGGTCCGCAAGTTTCGGCCTGCCGTCCCGAAAAATTGAAAAACAAAAGAGGGGAGTAAGGTCATTTTGGGGTGAAAAATTCGAATATGCAAATAATAGCTCATTCGAAAGATTTGAAAAAAAATTGAAAAAAAATTATCTGCATGCATATTCGAGCCCAATGACACAAAATCAGCTTGATTGTAAAAGTTTGGACAAAGTTACAATAGAAAAACAAACAACATAAACCTATGGGGGCGTCGGCGAGATGGTTAAGGAGCTAAAACAAACAAGCATAACTTTGTCAAATCAAGTCAGATTTTGTTGATTTTGGTGTCATTCGACTCAGCTCGTCGAGACGAATCGAATAACACATGTCACATCCCGAACTTTTACCACCGGTACACTACACTACAGCGTCAAAATTTTTAAATTAAAAAAACCTCAAACATTGATTCCTTCCATTCCCCTTCCAATCTGCTAATATCAACCAAAACTAAAGGTTCTGACACCAATTTTATTGTGCTTTTCATGTTAGGCTTCAAAATTTCATTCAAATTCATATTTTCAACAGATTTAGTGGCAGGGATAGCTTTCCTTTCTTTATAAAAGACAGAATCTCCCCAAGCACGAATTGCTGGATTTGAAGTATATTGACGGTTAAGATGAAAATTAACATTAGAATCAGCACCAAAATCTTCATCAAGTCTTTGTAGGAGAGTCTTGTTATAATCTAACTTTGATTGTTCATTTGATATTTTTTGACTATACTGACAATAGTCTCCAAATAATCTAACAAAAGGTGACTGAAAAATTAAAATTTGAAGTTTTTCAATTTAAAAATCAAAAATTTGTGCCAATCATGAAAAATATGATTGTATTTTTGGAATACTAGAACAAGAGTCTCAAACACTCTACTTTTTTTGTTGTTGAAATGAATGCAGATTCATTTTTGCCTATTAAAACTGCTAATATCGAGGCAAGATAGAGAAAGTTTCTGATGGAAGGACAGCATCTGGGATTTTAGATAACTTCAATTACTTATAGTACTAGTGAAAGTGAGGAAGGAATGCCTGATCAATGTGCACATCGAGGAAGGAAAAAAGGAAAACGAAATTCAAAATTACCCAAAAAACCCTTTATAAATTCAAAACAAACCGTTTTTAGAATTACATGCCAATTCTCTTGTTCATTTAGTCTTTCAGCATTGTCAACAATTACTCCACTAAATTTAACACCAATTCGTTCTAGAAATTGTAGTCTTGAAAAGCTAAATGTTAAAAACACAAATCGCCTCTTTTTAATAAATTTGCTAATTTCCTCGTCTATTAAACCAATCATGTGTTGAGTCAACGAAGAATTTTTCTGTTCTCTTTAAATATTAAAAATTTATATAAAAACGAAGTGTAGGCAAAAAAATTTGAAAAATAGCTGAAAATAAATAATTTTAAACTTAACATTCAAACTTTAATTTCCAAATTTTTCTGGAATAGACTATCAAAATCTTTCTGAGAAACCCCTAACTTTTATCCACAAAAAATTAAGGTAAAATTCCGTCATATGTCCCGGAAACCGATTCGGACAACGATAAGTCATTCGAAAGAGCTCACCGAGCTGAATCGAACGACACCAAAATTAGCTTCGGGACCAGACCTGGGCGAAACTCCAAATTTTTTTCGGACGAAACGAAACGAAACAAAAGTTTTTAAAAATCGTTTCGTTAACAAAACGAAACGAAACAGTCAAAATTTAACGAAACGAAACAAAACGAAACATTTTAATTTCGAAAAAAATCTCAAAAATTTGGATTATTTTATTAACTACACAATTTTAAGCATGTTAATTGGCCAATTATGACATATAAGTGATCGTAAAATTATGTGGACCATAAATTGTGGTCCCATTAGCCAATTTTTCTCTTAATCTCACCTAAATCTAGAGTTCAGCGGTATCGTGATTTATAGAAAAACCGGGATCTGATTTTGGAATGGTAATACCGATCCCGACACAGGATCGGGATTGGTCGAAATTGTCGCATTACCAAAAGAGTAGTTGATTATTAAGCCAAGGTCCTTCTCTCCAAAATATGCAAAAAAATTAATCTGCGGATACTCCCATTAGGGCTCTAAAGATAATTAAAAATGGGGTCAACTCTGTACCCCTCATTAGCTCCGTTAATCCCACAGATCGACTGATTAAACTTGTAAAGAGATAAAAGCAAAAAATGGTGTTGATCAAAAGTTTGTAAGCCTTCTTGGTCAATAGGTCATCAGTGTGAGGTTTACGAGGGGGTCCTTTCTCATCGCTGCAGGCGAAAATAGGTCCTTAAGCCAGATTTCTTCCATTTTCTGCGCCGCAGGCGAAAATTTTGAGAAGTTTGAAGGCTAAGAAGCCAGATTTCTTCCTTTTTCAGTGCCGCAGGCGAAAATTTTTTTAATTTTTATCACCAAAGGGGAAATTTTTTTAGTTTTGGGGGTATATTTTGGCTTAAAAAATAGGTAATGTTTCGTTAACGAAACACAGGTGTTTCGTTAACAAAACGAAACGAAACAAATTAAAAAGTGTTTCGTCACGAAACGAGACGAAACAGGAAAAAACATAACGAAACTAACGAAACAACAAAACGAAACGTTTCGCCCACGTCTGTTCGGGACTCGCCAATGGACCGAGATATAGGTCGCCGAAAATCGAAAAACAATAGGGGGATATGCTGATTTTTGGGGAAAAGTGAAAAAAAGTGTTTTTTTAGGACTGCGGCCTTCTAAAATTCTAAAAATTTTTGGCGCCTTCGGCGCCAAAAATTTGGCGCAGAAAAATTTCCCCCCTTGGCCCCCCCCCCGAAAAAAATCCTGGCTACGGGCCTGTTTGTCCGAATCAGTTTGCGGGACATATGACGGAATTATTCCAAAATTAATATAAAAACCTTTTTCGACTTCTCAATATTTTCAACTCCTCTGAAATCCTTAAAGTCCCTTCATTGTAAATCCTTTGAAAATTATGAAAACTAGCCATTTTTACAAGTTGTAAAACATTTTGATTTTTTATAGAAAAATATGAACCAGCCACGTTAAATTCAATCATACTAATAAAAGGTATTTCTTTCAATATTTCTTTGCTAGCAATAGAACAATAAAGGTCAATAAGTCGATAAAGTGAAGTAGTTGAAGGTGAAATAACGGCAATAGGCATATCTTTAGATTCGTCAGATTTTGACAAAATATCCAAATATTGAGCCAAAAGAAGTGTTTTGCCTGTTCCTGCCGCTCCATGAACGGCAACTATTGGACGTTTTTTATTTAATAAAGCAGAAAGAGCAGTTAATTGCGATGAGTCATAATTCTAAAAATAAAGGAAATTAAAAAATTATTTTTAAAGGCCCTGATTTCAACGTTCAAAAATATTCTGTCTGTCGAAATTATAAGACAAATCCAATATAAAATAAAAAAAGAGTACTTGTGGATTCTTCCAAACCAGTTTTTGCAGACTCATTTATGCTCACATTAAAGAAATGCCACAGAGAAAATTGAGTGAAATCGAGGAGGGAAGAACCATTGGCCTTTCGTACATAAATGTCCGCATAAATTTGTGCGCAAAACTGGCTTGGTTAACCCACAAGTACCAAAAAGTGTTAACCTTGTAAAGAGGCATGAATTTATTAATATCCGGATCATCTCCAAAATTAGGCATTTTTTTACATTTGAAGGCATAAAGCATTGCATCATATCCTTTGTATTTAGTAAATTCCTCTCGATTTCCAAATAAATTAATTGCCTTTTTCAATGAGTAATTTTGGCTTAAACGAAGGTCAAAAGATTTTCCCTGAAAGTTAAAACAATTGCTATGTTATAAAATTTTCTCACATCCCCCAACCCCCCAAAAAAACTTTTATGAAAAACAACTCTAAAATTTAAAAATAAACCTCAATATTTCCACGCAAATTGGAAGCATCAAAAACAAAAATATTTGTTTTAACTACAAGATAGTAATTGGATAGTCTTAAAAAAGCACATTCAATAATTGTATCACTATTTGGTTCCATAATCTTCAAATCAAGATTTCTGCCAGCATTAAGATTCAAAAGACGTAAAGAAGAAAGTTGTGATTTTGACAGCTTAAAAACAAATTATTGAAAATAATGATAGGAAAAATTAAAATTTGAAAGTTTATGGGTAATACAGCTGGGTGCAAAAGTAATGCCCGTTACGGATACACCGCGATGTACCGCGAGCCCAATGTACCACCAAACTAAAACTTTGTTTAAAATTGTCGAATCCGTGGCGCCCTGGCATGGTTTGTGCGTTTCGACCAGCTGAATCGAACATAACAGGGCGCCACGGATTCGACAATTTTGGACAAAGTTAAAACTCTGCGGTAAACTGGCCTGCACCCGAAAACAACATTATCGGTACTCTGTTCATATCCCCCCTCCTATTCGAGACAGATTATTTTTCTTCTTTGCTGACAATCATTAATTTCCCTCAAAAATAAGGCAAATTATTAGGAAGGAAAAAATAGTCGGCAACAGTAAAATTCCCGAGCAGAAAATAACAAAAGGAAAATTAATCTGAGGATATAAACAAAATACCAGATTATTAAATATAAAAAACAAACATTTTTAGTTGATAAAGTAATAAATGCACTTGAAAGTTGTTTAAAATCAACACATTCCAAAGATAACCCCATCCATTGGTTTTGTAGTTGATTGGGATTTTCTGAGAAATCAAAGCCAAGTTTAATTCCTTTCTCCCATCTTTGTATATTTTGTTCAATTTCATTGGGAATTAAATTACTTGTTGATTCTTTTAATTCATTTATGTTTTTTAAATAACGTGAATAATGAAGAAAACGTAATTTTGTGAGAGATGAAGGAAAATTTCGATAATTTGTTTTGCAGACATTAAACATCTAAAATTGAAAAAAATTAAATTTTAGGACAACCTGGAAGAACATGAAAAAAACACTTTCCAATTCCAGGTTTGGCAAGGATGAGAAAAGGGGCACACCTCAATTGAGTACCGGACACTTACTTATGAAGGATGGTCACTTTTTTTGTTTTTGTACCATTGGATAGAGCATTAAGGAAAATTCGTATCCCCTCAAAATCTCTATTCCTTAAAATCTCTACTGGGCTAAAATGCCTTATAATCTCTACACAGCTAAAATGCATTAAAATCTCTACTCGGCTAAAAATGATTAAAATAACTATTCCTTAAAATCTCTATTCCTCATAATCTCTACAAGGATAAAATGCCTTAAAATCTCTACACGGCCAAAAATAGGATAAAATGTCTATTTTTTCATTCGGAAGCCTTTTGAGTGCCAACGTTCAGTGCGGAAACGTTGTTCTGATTTCTGGCTTATCTTTTGATATTATTTTGCTTGTATTGTTTTTGCCGCTGCGGATGAACCCAGGCATGTCCAGCGGAACGACAGCAGCCGCTTCGATACGATCACCGCAAGCAAAATGAACACGACCGCAGCGAAGCAGTCGTGTATTATATCTTCGATATTTACAGCGGATACAAGCAGATATCCGCAGCCATTTTTAAATCAATTGTATCCGTATCCATTACCAAGTCTGGGTTTTCCAATGAATAGTTCATATTTTACACTTTTGTTGAGACTCTACCGTCCATTTGCACGGTGTAGAGATTTTAATTATTTTTACCCCAGTAGAGATTTTAAGGAATAGTTATTTTAAGGAATAGAGATTTTAAGCATTTTTACCCTAGTAGAGATTTTAAGGAATAGCGATTTTAAGGAATAGAGATTTTGTATGGGAGCCGGAAAATTAAGCGATTGAAAAATAGTGTGCTTAAGTGAAGAGAGACGTTAGACATTCAACTTTGGCTCCCCCATATCTTGCCAAATCCATATCTTGCCAATAGGGGCAAAAATCCATATCTTGCCAACTGCATATCTTGCCAACCCCATATTTGCCAATAGGGCTCAAAACCCATATCTTGCCAATACTACTAAAATCCCATATCTTGCCAATAAGGGCAAAATCCTTGAAATTTGCCAATAAAAGTAAAAGGGGTAGGGGTCAGTTGAGTACCAGCCGGTTGACCAGCCGGTTGAGTACCAGCCGGACGACCAAAAACCAGAATACGATCATTATCTCCTTCTCCACTGTCTACTAAAAGAAACTGCTCGAAAACTCCAAGCTCTGATTCATACGTCAGTATTTGTCCGGGATTATCAGAATTGATCTATTTTTAGGATATTCCGCAGTTACAGTAGCGGAAATTTACTTGAGACCGATTGAATTTTAGGTGTCGCGAGCGCACATTGAGACAAAGTACAATGTTCTCTCGCGAAATATCTCTCATTGGCCGTCGCGCCATTCCTTTCCCATACAATAATAAATAAATGGTTTTTACACTAAACTTAGTCATTTTTCTTTCTTTTGCAGTCTAGGAAGATAACGATCGTCAAAAAGCCAAGCCACTTTCCCAGACAGAAGAAAGAAGATGACCGCCCAACTTATTCGATATATAAGAAAATGGCTTAACCGATTTTTTGTTATTTCAATTCATTTTCAATTAATATAATTTTTATTTATTTTGTAAGGCATATCCGACTTTAACTATAAATTAGTTATTTACCATTTATTCTTACTCATTTTTATCAAATCCCTCCGGAAATTTCCCATTTTTAATGAAATCTATCTCCTTCTCCACTGTCTACTAAAAGAAACTGCTCGAAAACTCCAAGCTCTGATTCATACGTCAGTATTTGTCCGGGATTATCAGAATCGATCTATTCAATATATAAGAAAATGGCTATTTGCGGGTCATCTATTTGCTCTTTTGTTGAGTCCACTCGATAAGAGTTGCCTTCGGCATGTCTTAGAGTTAATGTATTTACGAAAGGATCTAATACGATTCTTGAGTCCATTGTTATTGCAAAGCAGACTGGGAATTCAACAATATCTTCCATTTCTGGTAGTTGTACTTCTTGAATAGAGACATCTTCCGCATCTTAGACAATGCATCAGCTAGGGTGTTTTGTTTGCCTGAAATGTGTACTAATTTTATTTGATAATTTTGAAGCTCTATTAACCATCTAGCTAAATGAGGGTGTGTTTCTGACTTTTTAAGTAGATATGCTAAAGGTTTGTGATCCGTGTGTAACTCAATATCGCTCATTAAAATATCTGGTTTAAACCCCTTAAAGCATAAATTATAGCACATAACTCTATCTGAACAGCAGGTAAATTATAGCACATAACTCTATCTGAACCCAATGAGCATAAGGCTCATCAGCCATTCGTGGCATTAGGTATTGAAAATGATAATTTGAAATTTAGTTTTCCCACAAGGCCCAATGACTCACCAGACGACTTGGACCAGATGGAACTTGTGCTTTCGGCTGCAATCACTTGTGCTGATCCGGTGGAGACAGAAATTGAACGCTTCACGATCATCACTCAGCTTGAAGTGTTGCCTGGCGCCGCTCCAGCTGGTACCGCAAATGTTCGAGTGAGGCACGTGGTTGAAAGGAAGGAGGACCGATGCCTGGCAAGACTGCGAGAGGGTGATGAATGGGGCTGCTACTGAGGTAGCCTCTTCAGTCCAAGAGAACATTATTGCAGCTGGCAACTAAGTTTGCCATGGGTGAGTGCGTGACTCAAGACAGGTTTGGGTGTAATTATGTCTGTGCTTTTGGCACAGAGGAGCATCCGGCTCCGAGAGTCGGATGGGCTGAGCTTTTCGAGGCTCATAATCCCGTTTTAAATGATTTAGTAGGTGCTCAACAGCAGGCAGCCATGCTTATGCTCGACAGCCAGCCCAGGGTTTTGTTTATGCAGGCAGCCCCTGGGACTGGGAAGACCAAAGCCTCGGCAGACATAATTGCTGCCTACCTGAGGGAGCATGAAGACGTGGCCGTGGCCAAGGCCGTGAGGAGATGGTGCGTACTATGGAACGGACAGGTTGGCCGAAGAAATTTTGGCACTTTTTTAAGGAAGTGGTAAGTAACAAGTGGTACACAACGAGCGCTTAACTCCTGGAAGAACTGCAGCAGAGATGGATAGACTCACTCGTCAGACACCGATCAACCTCCCATGCAAGAACATGCCACTGGTTCTGATCCATCAAGTTGATCCGATGGTCCAGTACCCAACTTCTTTTTCGGCCAACAACCCGGAGCAAACACGAACTGTGGTGGACTTGCTCATGGTTTTGCGGACTGGGTTCACAGGTACGGTAAGAGTAATTTGTTTTTACGCAGGTCAGGCCAAAGAAGTTGGTGTTGCGTTGGCTGAACGTGAAATGGCGGACGTGATCGTTTCGACAGCTGATGGATGCCAAGGACACGAAGCCGACCTGGCCATCATCGAGACAACAAAGGCAGGATTAACAACAGTTTATGGAGGTGGTGCGTTTTGGAATGATGAAAGAAGAGTCAACGTGGCGCTGAGCAAAGGAAAATTTGGAATGATTGTGATCGGCGACTTCAAAATGCTGTGGACTGCAGGTGGAATCTGGCGCCGCTTCTTGAAGGCTTTGGAAAAGACAGTGGCAGTGACACCAGACTACATTGAAGTGATGGCAGAACCGGAGGCAGAATATGAAAATGGAGTGCTTGTTGGACCAAATGGAACTGTCAGAGCATCAAACTTCTATGATGAATGGAAAGAACATGACAGCAACATCTGTCAAGAAGCACCATCAAGTAAATTCGTCGCCAACCTTAGATTTGGACAACCATCAACATCACAGCCGTCAACAAGCCGAAGGAGTGGACAACAAGCCCGACTTTGTCATCGATGCCGACGTTCTGGACACCTAGCCAAAGACTGCTTGGAGAACTCACAACCACGAAGGAACGAACGAGGAAGAGGCAAGGACGTCGCTGAAAATGGCACTAGTGCTTCCTGACCCCCGTTTACTTTAATTTTTTTAAATTTTATATTAATTTCCCCAAAAATGATTTTAATTAAATTTAATACCTCACCTTACTTGTATTTTTTAATCATACCTCAAAATTTGTATTTTAATTATTTTTTAGTGATATTTTTTACACAAATTTATGTTAGACTTACGTTGTAGTTTTTACCTCAAATTTACATATTTTTTATATATAGTAATATTTTACTTTATTTTTACCTCAAATTTCTGTTTACCTCAAATTTATATTTTCTCTCTATAGTGATATTTTTTTATTTCACATATATATTCCAATACCAATTTTTTAAACTTTAATTATTTCTCAATTTTCCAACAATTTTATTATCCACAATATCTATTTCATTTTTAATCACCTCAATTTTTATCTTTTACTTTTTACTTTTCCAAAAAGAAATGCCTTCCCTACTACATAATTTTTCCATTCCATTCATCCCTCCAAAAACAACAAAAGAAAAGAAACAAGAATCAAAACTACAAAAAAATAATCATCAAAAACTTCAAAAAAGAGAGAAGTAGAAGAATTAAAAAAAGAAAAGTTAAGTAAATTCTAAAAAAGGAAATAAATAAAAGTAAAGCAACAAGAGCAATCAATACTTGAATTTAATAAAAAAGAAGAAAAGGAATTTTTTGAAAAAAAAATCATCAAGAAAAAAAGAAAACAACAAAAGAAAAGAAATTCATCAAACTTAATATGGGGACCATTTTCATGGGGAGGGGTGTGTAAGGCATATCCGACTTTAACTATAAATTAATTATTTACCATTTATTCTCACTCATTTTTATCTTTATTACAATTGTATTTTCCCATGTATATTTTATGTCCCACCCACGTATATAAATCCATTTTTCCAACCTTACAATGATCAGTTATGGATGCTTACTTTTCTAGTTGCTTTTTCCCTTTTATCACACCTTTATGTTTATTTTTATAAATGAAATAAATATTATGAATGGATCGCGTACTTATTATTATTTAGAGAGCAGGGCCCGCTTTCCTGGGTAATAGTATTTACATTTATTATTTTTAATAAATAAATTTTTTGTTGTTAGATTTATCTAACCAATAAATCCTTTTAGTAACTTGGATCATACCAGTGTATGTAATACGGGGAGTATCAACCGGAGAAAACCCCTGAATTATACGTTGGGATCCGGAATAACCCAACTTTATGCAAGATCAAATCGTTTCATCGATTGTCAATAAGATCCAATCGTGTCATCGATTGTCAAAGCCGTCGAGCTTAAGTGAAGACCTATGGAGCGTAGGCGAGGCGCTTGTGAAAAAATAAAGTCAAGTAGAACCAAAACAAAAAATAAAAAAAATCGAAAAAAATTTTTCAAGAATGAAAAATCAGAAGAGAAAAAATTCACTTAAATATAAAATTTAAAATCTGCAATCAAAATCTTTTATCAAAGTTAAATTGGAAAAATTTATAGAAATCAAATAAATGAAAAAAATATACAGAAAAATATAAGAAAATAAGTAAGAAAAGATATTGGCAAGAATAAAAATTATGAAAAAATTTATAAAAAATAAGAAAAAATTTTTTAAAAATGAAAAAACAGAAGAGAAAAAATTCACTTAAATATAAATATCAAAATTTGTAATCAAAATCTTTTATCTCTTTTCTTGAGATTTTCTTAGACTTTATAAGCTCGTACCAAAATTCGTACTCGTACTCAGGTACGTAATACGATTACGAGGTACGGGCCGACGATCGTCTATGTAACGGGCCGACGATCGTCGGCCCGAAAATAGGTAAATATTAGAGACGTCCGAGACCGAAATTTTTCCAAGACTCAAGACCCAAGACAAAATTTTTTCCAAGACCAAGAGTCTCGGTCAGCTCTAGTAAATATATATGGGAAATAATTAAAAAATACAAAAAAACACAAAAAACACAAAAAATACAAAAAATATAGTTAAGAAGAAGGGGAAAATAAAAATAATAAAAAATTGAAACAGTTGTTTCATTAAAGTGCAAAATAATAAAATTTGTAAAAATTAGGGAAAATTAGGGTAATAAATTTAAAAGAAAAGATTTTTAGTAAAATAAGGAATTTAAGTGTAAATAAAGCAATTAATTAGCCCACGCAAAACCATTTCCACCCAATTTCAGACACATTGCTCAAACAATAATGAAAAGACTTTTTCGTGTCTATTCCCATGTTTATCATTAACATTTTAATTTAATTGAACAATTGGCTGAAAATAAAGAAGGAAAAAGAGAATTTTAATGGGAGTATAAAAATTAAAAAAGAAAAGATATAATTTTGTCTTTGTTCACTCATTTCCTCCAGAAAAATAAATTTTTAAAAAAAAAAAGAAAATATTTTTGTTTGGATAAAATTAAGGAAAAAATTTGAGAATTAAATTTTGAAATTTTGGAAACTTCTACATCTAAAGGAAATAAATTTTTTGATAAATTAAAAAATAAAATAACAATTATAATTAATGGATGTTTGATTTGTATATTAAAAACAACAATTGTATGACTAATATAATAACAATTGTGTATGATAAAATAATTATTTTCCCAATCAAGTATGCCACGTAAACAAGGAAGAAATTTTAATTTAAATTGGAGTTGGAAGGTTTTTTGAAAAAACCAAGACCGAGATAGAGGGGTAAACCTCTATCACTATTGTTTTGACACGTAAACAAGGAAGAAAATTAAATTCAAAATTGGATAGAATAAATAGTTGTTGAATTTTAGTGACAAATCATTCAAAAACATTCTCTCCTCTCTCTTTTAACTAAAAACTACTTTAATAACTCTCTACTACTAAAAATGAAGGTAAATAATTTAATTTAAAAATTAACAAAAAAATTTATTTAGTTAATGGCAATTTTTGTTGCTTTTTTGATTGCTTGCTCTATGGTGTTTGTGCCTGCTATAAATGCTCTATAATTACAAAATTACTCTATAATTACTTTATTATGCTTATCCTAAAAAACCAACCAAGAAGCCGCCTCCTTATTAATTTCTTGATGTTCTGAAAAGGGGGATGTTTAATTAAATGGAGAAATTTTAAGTAAAATGATGGATATTAAAAAAAGATTTTCTCTTTGTAAATTAAATCTATGAAATAAATATATTAATTTCTTCTTGTTTCCCTTCAATTTTTATTATTATTAGAGGTTTTCGGTTATTAATAGGGCCCGGAATTTTAAGTTGTAAAAACCTTAAAATAGGTTCAATTCATCATAACTATTTCTCGCAAAAAATAGAATATACCCTAAAAATCCAGGCCCTAATTATTTCCACTCCTTCAACATTTTATTTCTTGATATAAAAAATTACTCTATAATTACTCAAAAAATATTTTTTTGTTAAACTAAGGAAGAATTTGTTGAATTAGCTAAGCTGTGATTACCGAGACTGTTAAAATTGTTAATTTGTTCCTCTATTCTCTACAATATTTGCTTTATAAAAATATTTGTGTTAGCAAAAAGCAAGCACACGGCCATTGATATACTTAAGATAAAAATTTATTCTAACTTAATATGTATGGTGAAGGAAAATAATTGTGAAGAATTAAAAATACATAAGTCGATATAATAGAACTTATTTTGAATTAAAAATAATTTTTAAAAAATTTATTTAAATTCGAAAATTTAAAATGTTTTTCAAAAATTTATTGTAAAAGTTAACTTTAATAATTTGCAACAAAAACTCAAATAAAAATTTGTTCGAAATGCATGTCGTTAATAAAAATGTCCAATCCTCGCTATCATGACGGCAAATCAAAAAATTTTTTTAATTAAATAATAAACTGAAAGAATTGTTTTAAAAAATAATTTTTAAATAATTGTTAAAAAAATAAAAAAATAATAATAAAAAATAAAAAATAATTCTGTTATAATTTTTACTAATTATTAAAATATAAATTTCATGTTAACAAAGCCTTGGAAATGCTTTACAAAATGTAACTAAATTTTAAAATTATTTTTTGTTGGGAATTTTTTTCAATAAAATCTAAATAATTTAGTCTTTAGTAGAGTTCAGCATTAACGGTATTTTGACATGAAATCGGGATTTTATCGGGATTCGATGCAGATCTCGATACCGACTGCGGGATCGGGATTGGCCGAAAACAGGATTGTGATTTATCCTTCCTTTTCAGTATCAGCAAAATCAGGATTCAAAAAACTGGGATAATCCACTCTGATCCCGATACCGCTGAATAGTCTTGGGAGAGAAATTAGCTTAATCTCTTTATGTAAGCTTAATCTTTATTATTTATTTTTAAACTTCAATTATTTATTTTTGATAAATTATTTTTTTCATTATAGTATTTTCTGCCTTTTTATGACTAAAAGGTGAACATTTAAAAAAAGGAAAACTTAGACATTTGAACATTTAAAATTTTTAAAAAATTGTTTTTAAAAGATTTGTATATATGTACATTTTATACATTTTTTCCTATTCCTTTCAATAATTATTAATATTTTTTAGATTCTATATGTATCAATAAAAACTGAAGATTAAAACTAAAGATTATTTTTGGATATATAATTTGTGTTCTAGACCAATGCCATTTTAAATAAAGAGAATATTTTTTATTATTAATGTAATATATAATCGAAAAAATGATTTTTGTTTAATATTTATTTTTCTGTTATTTTCTACAGAAAATTTAATTGTAAAAGTTAATTCCTGATAATATATAATAATCAGAATTTTAAAATTTAATTTTTTATTTACCCTAAAATAATCAGAATTTCCATTTAAATCTGTTCGATCAAAAAACGAGAATAAAAAATTAAACCAATATTTAGTCAAGTTTAAACTTGAATTCTGATTTAGAAAAAGTTAGTTTTGGGAGTTAAAATCAGAAATTTAAAATCAGAAAAAATTGGAATTTTTTTATAAAAATATTAAATTAAAATTAAAAGTAATTCTGATTTTTATTGACTAAAGTACCCCCTAAAAATGCTTTATTATAATTTAATATTTATTTACTGTATTCTGCTCCAACTACAACTATTAATTAATAGTTATTATGACACTGATTGGTACTCTCATAGGGAAAAAACTTTTGATAGTAATTATAGAAATGGGGTAATTAAAAGCCCCGGATGTAAGTATTGGAATAATAAAAAAATTTTTTATTTAAATATCAGTTCCCGATAAATATAGTAATTATCTTGATTCTAAATGGAACATTTACCCAGAAGAAAATACCTTTATTTATGCTGAATTGAAGTCATTTGAAGTGATTCTTTAATTTTTTTAAATTTTATAGCAAGTTTTAGACAGAAGAAAATTATGACATTTTGGATGTTTATCAGACAAAATGGAATGCTTCAGAGTTAATGAAAACTAAACTGGCAAGGTCAAAAAATAAAATATTTTATTTAAAAACAATAAATAATTATTTAATAATTCAGCCTCAGCGGCGAAAAAAATGTTAATGTGCCCGTGGAGTATCATAATTTTTCATCCTCAATTAATGGTGGACTCTTTTTCAAGTTTGTCACAGACGGCGGTTCAACTCACCGTGGATTTGAAATTAGCTTTTCTCGAAGATATAAAATTAAGTTTTTTGTTTAAATTTGTATTAAGGCTTGGGATAATATATAGACTATAGCTTTACAGTCACACATGTATACTAAAAATTATATATACCTCGTAAGGAATGGGAACTTGTCTATCTTTGACTTTATTGTCTTCGTTATGTTAATAAAAATTCTTAAATATGATAATTAAACAGCCACAATTAATTCATTTTGCAACTGAGCAGATCAAACATACTAGCATAATTTATCTTAGCTTTAAAGCAAATTTTGAAAAGTTTTTGATAGAGGATACTTTATACATAACTCTAAACAATAGGGTTAGGGTTTTCGAGTCGGGCCGACGTTCGAATCATTTTTATCGGGCCGACCCAATCGAGTCTTCATGCCAAAATTCAATGCGCGACTCGATCTTTCGGACCGGGCCAGATTGGGCCCTCAACCCTAGTAAGATTAATTTAAACTTTTTTCAGCCTGTGACTGCTTCCCAAATAATTTAACACTCTGTCGAATTCATCCATTAAATTTACTCTCACCAGGATTTCCAGAATATTGTGACAATCTTAATTGCTCTACAAATATTTATTTAGAAAGTCCATTCATTACAAACGACTATGCGGAATGTTTACAAATTCAATTTAATTCCTTCTTGAATGAAGTAGATAAAGACCTTTTACATTTAAAAATACCTCTTGGTGAAGAAGAGACTAAGCTTATATCGTATGTTTTATGGGGATTTTATGGGGCCAACCAACTAAACATTCGATAGTAAAGCAGCTGGGCTATAGCTAATTATCTTCTTTAGCTAGTACAAAAGGTTATTTGGGTGCTGGGAGACCAGCATCTCCATTAGACCGAACTGATGTGTTATCCATTATACCACGCCACCTACTGCACAGCCTTAGGAATTAAATAGTAGGGTTTCGCCGGAAGTTCCGGTTCCGGTTCCGGGTTCCGGAAGTTCCGGTGTTTTTTTGGTTCCGGTTCCGGTTCCGGGAACCGGAACTCAAATTGGTTCCGGTTCCGGTTCCGGCTCCGGTTTACAAATCGGTTCCGGCCAAACCGGAACTTTTTTACACCCCTAAGGATTAGTTTTTTTTAAAAAATATTAATAAAATACTAGTACTCTCATACTTGTAATAAAAAAATCGAAAGAAATATGTTTATTTTCTTTCAGTTAATTTCTGATGAGCGTGTGTCCGAGTGGTTAAATTTGAATATTTATTGTCCTACGATTGGGAAGCGAACCCAACTTAAAATCATTAACACATTGAGTGAAGCCCAACTTCACTCAATGTGTTAATGATTTTAAGTTGGGTTCGCTTCCCAATCGTAGGACAATAAATATTCAAATTTTTCTTCTAATAAATAAATCATTTTATGAGTTTAATTTTGTTTTAAAAATTATTTTATTTTTACATGAAGTAATTAATTTTTTTGCTTACAGCCTTCTTAAATTTTCAAAATTTTCGCCTGCGGCGCTGAAAAAGAAAGTTGAATGGTATAACGGATTATTTGGATGGATTAATGTGGATTTTGATGTGGACCCCATTACAATTCTGATTCCTTATATCGTCCGATATCAAACACTTATACCACAAAATCCGTTATACACCACTCTCTAACCCAAATATATCACTTATCGCCGACAAATTTTCGGTTCAGTTTTGGTTAATCAAAAGTCTCGGTTAGGTTCGGTTTTGGTTAACCGAAGAAGTTGGTGAACAGTCAACTCTACTTAAACTACAAATTTTTAAAAATTTGCTAGCAAAAATTTTTTTAAAAGTTCCGGTTCCGGTTCCGGTTCCGGGCCGGAACTTTGAAAAGTTCCGGTTCCGGTTCCGGGAACCGGAACTCAAATTGGATCCGGTTCCGGTTCCGGTCAAAATTTCGGTTCCGGCGAAACCCTATTAAATAGCTATTGCTTTACACAATAAATTTCGAATAAATTTTGAAATACTGTAAAAAATCAGAATTTATTCCTTTAATTATCATTAAAATATTTGATTAAAAAATTAAATTTTTTAAAGATTTGGAGGTGGTGCACAGAAAATAAAATTTTTTACTTTTGATTCACCCAAATTTATTTTAAATTTGACTACTAATGCTGTAGGAGTTGATTCTAAATTTAATTTAACAATTAAATATATTAAAAGAGATAAAGGTAAAAATATTTTAATTTTTTAAAGAAAATTTTTATTTAAAAGAATGTTTATGTCATGATAATTTAAACAATCTAAAAATTTTTAACGGAAAGAAGAATTCAGTGCAAAAAAAGTTTTTTGGTGATAAATGTTCTTTTATGGATTGCTTTTGGAAAATTGAACCTCCAAATGTTTGTTAGAATACTATAATAATTAATTTTTGAATTAAAGTATAGTATACATCAGGGAGTAATATCGGAAGATATAGTGATTAAGTAGGGATATAAAGCTAGATTTCTTCCTTTTATGGAGAGGAAAAATGACAGATTTCAGGACAGGTTTTCGAAATTTTCTCGGATCGAGTTTCGGGTCGAAAAAAGCCGTGTTTCGGGTAACGCGTCCTATCCCTGGTATTCATATCGTATTTCCTCTTAGCTCTATAGATTACCCCTTCCGTGAGAGATTTAAACTACATATATTTAACCACAAATATTTATCCAGGACTCAAAATTTTATCACCGTCTCTTTCTTAAATTCAATCTTTCACTGGCTGACAATAGAGACTTTGTTGAAGTTTGTTCCAAAAATTTTAATGGAAAAAATGTTGACTGTCAAATGTATTTAATAAATTAAGTGTTGAGCAACTAAAATCAGAATTTATTTATTTTTAGATTAGACTCAGGAAAAGTTGGTTCTGAAAATAAAATCGAATTTAATGTTTCTAAAGTTTCTACTCTTCTTTTTAAAAAAGATGCTTCAATAAATATTTGGTATCATCGTGAATCTGAAGAAATAATTAATAATACTAATATTCCAAGACAAATTAATTTTGCCTATGAGTGGAGAGAACGTAATTAATTCCTTATTTATCAGAACAAATCTCAAAATATCAGAATAACTATCAGAATAAACCAGAAAATTAATTCTGATTTACAGGGTGCGCCATAAGTAACCGGACACTTGTTTTCTCTCATAACTTTATTAAAACACAATCAAATAAAATCAAAATACAATCAGATGATAGAGAATTAAATAAGGAACAAAAATAATCAAGAAGTTTCGAAATACCCACCCTTGGCTTTGATACAGAGGCGAAGGCGCGAGGAAAAATTTTCGCAAATAGCACGCACCTCCTTGAGTGTAATTAAGCCCCACTCTCGGGTGAGAGAATGGCGCAGAGACTCCAAACTTTTGTGCGTCTTAGCACAGGGTCTGAACTCCAAAATGGACCAAAAGAATAATCCATCGGGTTTAAATCCGGGGAGTGGGGCGGTAATTCCTGAGCGCTGATGAACCCAGGAAAATTGGCCTTGCACCAGTCCTGAACTTCTTTCGCCTTGTGTGCCGGAGCAGAGTCCTGTTCGAAAATCCAGACCCTGCGACCGAAATGTCTCTTGAACCAAGGCTTCACAACACGCTGCAAGATTTCTTGCAAGTAATAGTCTTTGTTGACTTTTACCCCAGGATCCACGAAAATAAGGGGTTTTTTGCCTTACGCCCAAATACCAGCCCAAACCATGACAGATTGGGGATGTTGGGAATGAGTGATAAGCTTATCGGAAAGAGGAGATTCTGTTTATTGTAAAAATTTTTTCGTCTGTGAAAAAAATGTCCGGACATGCGTGCCACTGGAGGAGCAGTTTGCATCTTTCAAGCCTAACTTTTTTGGTTTTTTCGGTTAGAAGTTGTGCTTTTTGGATATTGTAGGGGTTTAACCCAAGTTCATTTTTGGCTATTTGTCTGACGGTCATCTCACTTATTCCGGTTTCACGAGCCAATTTTCTTACGGAGGGTCGATAATCGAGATGCACCCACATTTTGATCATTTTGATATTCTTGGAAGTGATTACGGAACGAGGTCTTCCACTTTTTTGTAAGTTCTTAGTTGTGCCATCATTACTAAATTAATTTCAAAAAAATTTTCTCCCAAAAAATTTTCACCAGAATTTTTTGAAAGTGTATTGCACAGTGATTTTTGGGACATCCAAATGAGGTGAAATTTTGCGGACAGAATTTTTTTGCCAAAAAAGTGAGATTATAGAATCACGTTGACTAGCCATAATAGAGAATTGAATGAGCTAAAAAATAAGCCTAAAATCAATTAAAAATATTGATAACAAAAAAAGTTATAAGGAATTCAAAAGTGTCCGGTTACTTATGGCGCACCCTGTAAAAACCGATGTTTCGATTTTTAACAAAACTGAAGAATGTAAACACCGAATAGTTCTGATTTTTATAATAAGAAATTTCTAAAAATCTTAAAAAAAATTTTTTTATTTAAATTTTAATTTAGAATATTTAGGCTGTAAATGTGGCGATGTTCATTTAAAAGCAAACTTAGACAATTGGAATGTTTTATATTCTCCTGATTATCCAGAAACTTATTGTCATTCAATGGATTGTTTATGGCGTTTAGAAGCTCCAAAAGGATATCATCTAGTTGTAAATATTTCAGAATTTAATACAGAAGAGGAGCATGATTTTTTGACACTTTTTGATGGATATGATACAAATCAGAAACATATGGAAATGTTAATATTTGTTTAAAAATATCAGAATTCTGGTTTTTAAAAATCAGAAAATATATTTTAAAAACAAAATTCTGATTTTTAAAAATGAGAAAAATATCAGAATTTCAAAAAGATTCTGATTTCTAAAATAAAAATCAGAATAAATATCAGAATCTTTCGCTTAAAATTAAAAGAATAAAAATAATTTTTTCAGCTTTTCTGGAATGATTACGTTTAATAATACAATAAAAAGCAAACAAAATATTATGTCAATTTCATTCCATTCTGATATTAGTATTCAAATGAGTGGATTTGCAATATGGTACAAAGCTGGTAAGCTGAAGATTTAAATTTAAAAATTTTAACAAATCAGAATTAATAAACTAAAATTAAAAATCAGAATTTTAATTTAATGTAAATTCTGGTTTTAAAAGACCAGAATTATCAATCAGGATTTTTTGTAGTTTTAACCAGAATTTCTGTTCAGAAAAACCAGAACCATACAAACACTAATATTTTTAAGTTCAGAATTTTAAAATTCAGAATAAAATCCTGCTGTAGAATTCTGAATTTAAAAAACCAGAAAAAATAAATTTTAAATCAGAATTTAATTTTTAAGTTGATGCTTAGTTTTACTTTGATGGTTTATTCTACTTGAAGCAAAATTCAGACAGAAACAAATAGTTGCAATAATAATACATAAATGAGATTTCTTTTTAAACTATTACATATAATAACATTTTAAATTATTAGCTTATGTATTTTACGAAAATATAATTTTTAATAATATTAGATCTTTATAACTACCGTATTTGCTCTATTAATCCCCCAGTCCTTTATTAATCCCCCAGGCTCTATTAATCCCCCACCCTGGAGATGGGTTGAAACAATAATCCCCCTGGGGGATTACTAGAGCAAATACGGTAACCATCAAACTAACCAAAAGTCTTTTAGTTATTAACTGGTTTAGACTGTTTTTTTAATCAAAAGTTTTCTATCTTTTATTAAAATTAAACTGATTTAAAAAAATCATTGCCGGATACAGCGATTTGTTTAAAAGTCACCTTTTAATAAAATCGGCATTAGTTTAAAAACCGAAAAACCCTCTCGAATAAGTTACTGATATTTAACAGAAACTGCTGACAAACTTTTCTGATATACACAAGACAATTACATTATTTATTTAATTAACATATATTTTAAATTACATCAAGTAGCGCTCTTTTACAATTTTCAATTTAATTAAACATCCCCTCTTTTCAGAACACTCAGAAATTAATAAGGAGGAGGCTTCTTGGTTGGTTTTTTAGGATAACCATCAGCATTTATAGCAGGCACAAACACCATAGAGCAAGCAATCAAAAAAGCAACAAAAATTGCCATTAACTAAATAAATTTTTTTGTTAATTTTTAAATTAAATTATTTACTACCTTCATTTTTAGTAGTAGAGAGTTATTAAAGTAGTTTTTAGTTAAAAGAGAGAGGAGAGAATGTTTTTGAATGATTTGTCACTAAAATTCAACAACTATTTATTCTATCCAATTTTTAATTTAATTTCATTTCCTTGTTTACGTGTCAAAACAATAGTGATAGAGGTTTACCCCTCGATCTCGGTCTTGGTTTTTTCAAAAAACCTTACAACTCTAATTTAAATTAAATTTTCTTCCTTGTTTACGTGGCATACTTGATTGAAAAAAATAATTATTTTGTCACACACAATTGTTATTATATTAGTCATACAATTGTTGTTTTTGATATACAAACACAAACATCCAGTAATATACATACATTTTATTTTATTTTTTTATTTATTAAAAAATTTATTTTTTTTAAATATCCAACACTTCTAAAATTAAAAAAGAATTTAGGAAAAAATATTCTTACTCATCTAAAATAAAATTTTATTTTTTTTCCAGCATCAAAAATCAAATTTTTTTAAAATTATTCTAACAATATTTTTATTTTTGCATCATTGTTTTCCTTTTTATTTTATTTTCAGTTCCTTAATTTTCCAAACTAAATGTTTTTATTTTATATAAAAAAGTTGCCAGTTTTTTTTCTGATAAAATGTTGACAACATGATAATTATCAAAAATAATGTGAAGATATTATAACAAAATAATTATTTTTTCAATCAAGTATGCCACGCAGTGATGCGGAAATTCCAAAATGTCCCGGTTCCGGTTCTGGAACCGATTTTTCAATTTCGCCCGGTTCCAAACCGTTTCCAATTTTGAATTTAATTTTCTTCCTTGTTTACGTGACACACTTGATTGAAAAAATAATTAGTATTTTGTCATTATATTTCCACAAAACTTGTGATAATTGTCGTGTTGTCAACATTTTATCAATTTCCTCAATTTTAAAAAAATTGAAGAAATTCTTTTTTAAAAAAATAAAATCAAATGAAAATAATGATGTAAGAATAAAAATATTGTTAGAATAATTTAAACAAAGTTTTTGATTTTTGATGCTAGTTTATAGCATTTTTATTTGTTGGAAACCTAAACATAATAAATAAAAATTTGTTAAATTAATAAAGAAAAGAATTCTTTTTTATTTAAAGAATTCACATGAATTTAGAAAATATCATGAAAAAAATTTAAAAATAAAATTTTATTTTAGATGAGTAGGAATATTTCTTCTAAATTTACTACCGATTTTTTTAATTTTTGGAAGTGTTGGATAGTTCTAAAGGAAATAAATTTTTTGATAAATAAAAAAAATAAGATGTATGTATGTGAGATTACTGGATGTGTGTGTTTGTATATTAAAAACAACAATTGTGTATGACAAAATAATTATTTTTGTCAATCAAGTATGCCACGTAAACAAGGAAGGAAATTAAATTCAAAATTGGATAGAATAAATAGTTGTTGAATAAAATCATTCAAAAACATTCTCTCCTCTCTCTTTTAACTAAAAACTACTTTAATAACTCTCTACTACTAAAAATGAAGGTAAATAATTTAATTTAAAAATTAACAAAAAAAATTTATTTAGTTAATGGCAATTTTTGTTGCTTTTTTGATTGCTTGCTCTATGGTGTTTGTGCCTGCTATAAATGCTGATGCTTATCCTAAAAAACCAACCAAGAAGCCGCCTCCTTATTAATTTCTAAGTGTTCTGAAAAGAGGGGATGTTTAATTAAATGGAGAAATTTTGAGTAAAATGTTGGGTATTAAAAAAATACTTGCTCTTTGTAAATTAAATTATATTAAATAAAAATTAATTATTGTTTTCCTTCAATTCTTTAAAAAATAACCAAGTTTCGTCTATTATTTTTTATATTTTTGCATCATCCAAGGTTTATAACTTTCAACAAAAAATCTTTTTTGTTAAGCTGAAGATGAATTTGTTGAATTAGCTGTGATTACCGAGACTGATAAAATTCCGGGCTTATTCCTCAATTCTTTCCCATACTTGCTTTATAAAATTTTTTTGTTAGCAAAACGCAATCACACAGCTAATATTATACTTAAAATAAAAATGTACTCGAAATAAAAAATATGATGAATTTTCATTCATAATGTGAAGAATTAAAATGCTAAAAGAAAAATGTTTTACTAAGTTTCTAAATTTTTTAAATGAGATTATGGAAATTTTGTGAAGAATTCATACTGGACTATAATTTCCAAGAGAAGTAATTTAAAAAAATATAAATCTATACTTTTACATTTTTATTTAATTTTTTCACAATTGTTTATAAAATAATTTTTTATTTGTTTATTCTTCCTTCTATAAAATTACAGATTAATGGCTATTTAATTTAGAAAAGGCATTCTTCTACTTACTATTTTTTTAATTTAATGCGTTTAGTCATTTAATATTTTCTATTATTATTTAATATAAGATTAAATATTTTTTAAATATTTCCTTGGTAAAGCACTTTTGTGATTTTTAGATTAAAATTGCTTTTTTAATTTTAGCAATTGTCTGGGTTTATTCTGATTTTACAAAGAAATCTGATTTTTAATTTAAATAATTCTGATTTTAAAATTTACTATTAACTATTATGAACATTTTTTAGAAGCAGAAACAGCCTTTTAAAATTTGTTGTTTACATTGACCCTGAGGCATGTATCGGGATTAGGGAGTAAGACCTAGGGTGTATCGGGATTAGGGGGGTTTTGCCCAAAAACCCTAGACCTTACCCAAAAAAATTATTTTTTGCCCAAAAAACTATTCTCTGAACAGTAAAAAAAAGAAATACATTTATTTTGTTTTTTTAATGTTTTGTTTATATTTTCTACATTGCTACTTTTAAATAAATAATTTATGCAGCTGACTTTCCTTCATTCTCCCTACTTCCTTAGCACAAAATAAATCATTTTTTCGATCTGTCAATAATGATTCATTATATATTTATTTGATCTGTATCAATTTAACTACAAAAAGCTAAAGATTATTATTGAATAATTTGTGTTATGGACATAAGCTACATATTTTTTACACAAAAATAAACTTTAAATTTTTATTTTTATTAAAAGCTTTAAGTAAGGCTTAATTACAAATATGTAAATATACATAGAATTTTTAAGTCTAATTCTATAAAATAATCAGAATTTCCGTTTAAATTCGTTTGATTAGAAAACCAAAATTAAATAATTAAAACAGAATTTATTCAAGTTCAAACTTGAATTCAAACACAAATTTAAGTTTACGCCTTATTTTACGTTAAAGCTTGTATTTAAGTTTTAAGTCTGAATTAATTAACTTCAACTTAAATTATAATTCAAGTTTAAGAAATTCTATTTTAAGATTTAAGCACAATTTTGTTTTAATTTTTTATTAATTCCTCATTGTTATAATTTCGTAAAAATATCAATTTAAAATTTAAGCATAATTCTGATATTTCTTTGACCAGAATACTTTTTAAAAATGCTTTGTAAACAAATATTTATTTTCATCTTAGTACAATTAATTCATATTACAACCGAAACAGCTGAAACAGTTGGTAGCAACAGAGATTGTAGTTGTCCTATTGAGGAGACATTTGATAGTAATTTAAAAGAAGGTGTATTTAAAAGTCCTGGATGTGAGTATTTGAATAATTATTTAAAAAATCAGAATTCTGATTTAAAACTATATTATGTATATTTTTTTATCAGTCCCCGTCGAATATTGTGGTTCACTCGACTGTAGGTGGAATATTCTGCCAGAAGAAAATGCTTTTATTTATGCAAAATTGGGAGGATTATTTTCGGTGATTCAAATTTTTTATTTTATATTTATCAAGTTTTAGACAGAAAAAAGATACGACATTTTGGATGTTTATCAAACAAGATGGAATGGTTCAGAGTTAATGAAAGTTAAACACGCAAGGTCAAAAGTTATTTTGTTTTAATACAAAAATTATTTTTCTGATTCAGTGTCAGCGGAGAAGCCTTTGTGGATGTGGAATGGGAAAGGAGTAATTATGCATCCTCTATTGGCGGGGGACTTTTTTTCCATTTTGTAACAGACGGTCATGATCATAACAGAGGATTTGAAATTAGTTTTACGCGGAATCCTAAAGATGAGTTAAATCTTTTGTCAAGTTTAGGAGGGTCTATTGCTTAAAATAGTTTATAAAATTATATAGATGTAAAAATTAAAATATTGATTAGATTATGGATAAAAAATATACCGTAAATCCTCTAAAATAGGCCTCCTCCAAAATAAGCCGCCCCTCTAAAATAAGCCCCCTCTAGAGGTCGATTGAAAAAAATAAGCCCCGGGGCCTATTTTAGAGGATTTACGGTAATCGGATTCTGAACCAGAACTTTGCAATAAACTGTAACCAGAATCGGAACAGACATATGCGGAAAAGTTTTCCAGCGAAATGAATTAAATATTCTAAAAATTGTTTTTAAAAATTTTCTAAATCGGTTCTTGATTTTAGTTCTTGACCGAATAGCAGTTCTATTATAGAGAGAATCTTAAACTTGTTACGCCAAAATAACCTAGAATATGTAATATTAAACGAACTTTTAGTTTTATTTGATGTTTTTATCGAATTTCTTTTCTTAATTCCGGAAGCGGATAGAAACGCGGTTTCAATTTTTGGAAACGGAACTATAAATTTCTAAAACCGTTTGATTTTTTGAACCTGAAAAACACTAAATAACATCATTTATTATAGCTTTTATCTACAAAATTTTTTTAAGTTTGTATGTTTATCCTACTCCATGTCCAGAACCTTTTTATTATGCATCCAATTCTACTCAATATCTTCCTTCAACTGCTGTTAATAACAGACAAACATGCATCTTCTCTATAAATTCTACACAAGCAGTAAAGCTTATAATCAAAGGATTCGACAGTTCAAAAAATAAAATTGAGGTACTCCTTTTAATAACCGTAACAGTTTACTTTTCTTTTTATGTATGATTTTTTCGTAAAATCATCTTTTCCTCCCCTCGCGTTAAATATATTATAGTTTTTCATTATTATCAAAGGATTTGGATAAATGGCCATTTCGCATCTACCTTCTGCAAATACAGTCCGCAAAGACATTCTGCAAAAGGCATTTTTGCTGCATTTTACTCCTTTTCTTCTTTCCCTTAATTTCCTTAAGGTCATCAAAATGATTTGTTGACAGATTGGTGCAGAAAATGCCTTTTGCAGAATTTTTCATGTCTTTCAGGAAGGTAAAATGCGAGCTGGACCAAGGATTTGGTAAATACCAAGGATTTGGTAAAAGAGACGAGACAAGGGAAAAATGGAAATGGGGACCCCAAAGTTCAAAATTATACAAAAAATTTTCAGGTTTTCGAAACTGAAAGTTTTCCCAAACCTTATGTGGAACGTCAAGGAGGACAATTAGCAAAGTTTAATAGAAAAATAATAAAAAAAATTAAATAATTTTTTAGAATTGAAAGGCATTCTTTCAATTCATTTCCTTTAATTGTAACAAGTAGAACGAATTCTATGAGTATATTAATTACTTCTTTTGCATACGAACTTTTAGATTCTAATATAATTGAATTTATTGCTGTTAAAAGCGGTAATTTATTTTTATTTTAGTCAGTTTATTATTTAAAAATAATGTTGTTATTATTTAGAAATGTAAAGCATATAGCTATTTATTTTCTAAGGCTAAGCAGTAGGCGGCGTGGTGTAATGGCTAACACATCAGTCCGGTCTACTGAAGATGCTGGTTCGCTCCCAGCCGCCGAATGACCTTTTGCACTAGCTAAAGGAAAGAAATAGCTATAGCCCAGCTGCTTTACTGAAATAATTTTAAAAAATATTTTTTAATTCCACATTATATGATATTTTTTCCATTTACAAATCTAATAATAACTAATGATTAAAAATTTTAAAGCTATATTTTATTGGTAAAGGTTTTGGGGAATTCGAGTTGGGAGAAACGTAATCGGGAATTTAGATCTCCTATACTAACGTAATCTAGGAATTCTGAAAAGTATTTTATGGGCGGAACAGTAAGAGGTGTTGTTCTATACAAATTTCCTTAGAAAACATTTCTCTAAATAAAATTAATTATTCAAAATTTTTTCAGTTTGTGAATGCTTCCCAAATAATTTAATAGTTAGTCGTGTTCAACCACTAAATTTACTCTCACCAGGCTTCCCATTAGAATATTGTGATAATCTTAATTGTTCTACACAAATTTCTTTAGAAAATCCTCTAAATACAAACGATGTAGAATGTTTACAAATCCAATTTAATTCTTTCCGAACTGAACTAGATATGGACCTTTTACATTTACTGCAGATACCTTTTGGGGATGAAAAGAGAGAGCTTATATCGTAAGTTTTATGAGAATATCGGAGTACACCAGGGGTAGGTCGGTCAGACCTCTCAACTGTACTCGCCCAAATGAACTCGAAAATTAAAAAAAGGCATCGACCGGTACTTTATCTTGGAAACTTAGCACCAAATTTGCCAAAGAAATTCGCCCACACAAAATGGCAAAAAATATACAGATACTAATATGTATGAGATCTGAACTATTTATAAGTTCACTCTAAATACCTCGGTTCTAAGCCTTGGTCAAATTAGTTTTAAATATTTTTATTCAATAAGTCAAATTTAAAACATAAGTTCAATACAAGTTGAAAAATGAGAAATTGAGGGGGAGTATATATAGTGATCCTAAAGTAAACAGGGATTGTTATTGTGAATGGACAGGTCAGAATTAATTAAATAAAATGGAAAACAAAATATAAGATAAGGATTTTTGGGTAAACATTAAGTCGGGAAAACTCAGTAAACCTTTTGTAAAATTGGAAGGTCAAGAGTTTATCATTTATTTATTTATTTTTATATTTTGGGAAAAAGATAATTTTTAATTTGTTTATTTGCTGATGCGAATGCAGCAAGATCATTGGAAGGTACTTTTCTAACAGTTGGTTTTGAACTTGAAAAAGTTGATTAAATCTTTATCAACATAAGAGCCGTAGTTCGTTAAATTAATGGAATTATTAATTTATTTTTTAACATTACGCGCCATAACGTATCAACACAATTAAAAATTATTTTTTTAAAGTTTTGGTGGCGAGGCCAAGGGAATAAAATCTTTTACATTTGATTCAGCAAACTTTGTTTTAAATTTTACAACAGATGCTACAGAACTTGATTCTGGATTTAATTTAACAATTGGATATATTAAAAAGAATAAAGGCAAGAATTGAGGAAAAAATTGAATTTTTAAATTAAAAATTTTTAAAGAATGTTTATGTCATGGAACTGATAGCAACCTAAAAATTTTGAATGGAAAGAAAAATTCACTGAAAAATAATTTTGATAGTAAAAAGTGCTCATTTATGGATTGCTTTTGGAAAATTGAACCTCTAAAAGTCTGTTAAATTCAGAAATCTGAATTTAAAAATATTCAAAATTATAGGAATCGTCAGAATTTAATCACCGTCTACTTGTTAAACTCAATATTTCATTAAGTGATAGTACAGAGTTTGTTGAAGTTTGTGCTGATAATTTTCTAATGAGAAATCCTCAATGTCATAGGTGTTTCTTATATAAATAAACACTAAAGAGAATCTTTATCTTTGTTTCTAGATTAGATTCAAGCAACGTTGGAAGTGAAAATAAACTTGAATTTACTGTTTGGCAAATTCCTGGGTAAAAAAATAAAATAAAATTTCTTTTCTAAGATTTTTTAGATTGCCTTATCTTGATAAAATTGGGCCAGTATATATTTGGTATCATCGTGAATTTTCTCCATTAAGCTCTCAAGAAGCGATTAATAATCCTAATATTCCAAGACAAATTAATTTTAATTATGAGTGGAGAGGAGGTAATTAATTGATTATTTATCAAAATATCAGAAAAAATTAGAAAAAAATTTATTTTGATTTCTGTTATGTATAAAATTAGTGAATGCTAAATTAGAATTCTTAAATTAAAAAATTCCCTTTATTAATTAATTTTTTTAAATTAATTTATAAATTTAAGAATGTAAGTGTGGAGAGGTTCATTTAAGAGCAGACAAAAACAATTGGAACGTTTTATATTCCCCTGATCATCCAGAAAATTATTGCCCATCAATGAATTGTTCATGGCTTTTAGAAGCTCCAGAAGGCTATCATTTAGTTGTTAATATTTCAGAATTCTATACGGAAGCAGACCATGATTTTTTAGCTATTTTTGATGGGAATGATACAAATCAGAAACATATGGAAATGTTAATTATTTATTTAAAAATATCAGAATTCTGATTTTTAAGAATCAGAAAATATATTTTAAAAAAAGAATTCTGATTTTAACGCTTCATAAAATGAAAAATAAATCAGAATAAATTGGAAAGAATAATTTCTGATTTCTTAAAGAAAAATCAGAATATTAAAAGAAACTATTTTTTAAAGGCTTTCTGGAATGATCTCATTTAAAAATACAATACACAGTACAAAAAATATAATGGCAATATTATTTAATTCTGATATTAGCATTCAAATGGGAGGATTTGCAATATGGTACAGAGCTGGCAAGTTGATTGATTTGAATTTTTATTTAAAATCAGAATTAAAAATCGGAAAAATAATTTTGTGAAATCAGAATAGACCAGAATATTTTTTGAAAAATATCAGAATTTTTCAATCAGAAATTTTTAAATCAAAATTTAAATAAAATCATAATATTTACATATTATTTTTTAGTCAAAAATGATGAATTTCTTCAAAAACAACAATCTACAGAATTATCTTCGTCTGATAATTCGTCATCCCCTCACAGATTATTTTTATTTATGTTCTTTACTTTATTTGCGGTTATTGGAATTTTGTTTATTGTCGCTCGTTCAAATCCAACAAACAATTATTTTATAACAATTGAAAATATTTTTAGACAATTATTTCCAACAGCGTGGACTAGAATGTTTAATGAAAATGAGGAGGAGGAAGAAGGGGGAGGAGAAGGGAGAAATCAAGTAAAAATAATTTTATTCAGAATTTATAGCAAGTTTTCTGATTTAATTTAGGTAGGTAATATTAATTCTGATTTTTAATATAAATTCTGGTTTAAAAAACTATCAAAATCAGAATATACTACTTCATTTCAGAATTTTGTTTTTAGAAAATCAGAATTAAAAAAACCAGAATTTAGAATTCTGGTTTATTTCAGAATTTGGTTTCAGAATTTGGAATTCAGAATTCTGGGTTTTGACAGAATTCTGGTCAGAATTCAGAATTCTGGTTAAAATCAGAATTCTTGTTTAAAAAACTATCAAAACCAGAATATGACATTTCTTTATTTCAGAATTTTGTTTTTACAAAATCAGAATATAAAATCAGAATATCTGATTTTTTTTTAAAAATCAGAAAAATAAATTAAAATCAGAATTTCATTTTCACTTAATCAGAATTATTAATTTTAAATCAGAATCTGTTTTTATAATTCTGAATTTAATATCAGAATTTATTTAAAATTATTAATTTACAAAATCAGAATTTTAATTTTCCAGTTATTGGGTAGTTCTACTTCTGTTCACTTTGCTTCCAATAATCGCTCAAAACATCAACGAACAATTGACAATAATAAATGCATTTCTTTTTCAACTAATAATCCTTCTTATAATGAATAAATAAATAATATTAAATTAATTTATAATTAAATATTTCTATAAAATTTTTACCAAAATTTCTTAATAAATTTTCTCTTTTATTTAAAATTTATTGAAAACAACGCTAGCTTTCCTTAATTAAAATTATAATAAAATAATTTTTTATATCCCGAACTAAGAGGTTTGTTCATATCGTCATCCTAATAATTTATATAAAGATGATAAAAAACAAAATTATTTTAATTTTTTCACATTATTTTTACTCACCATACATATTTAGTTAGGATAAGTTTGTTATTTTAAGTTTATTTTAATGGCTGTGTGCTTGCTTTTTGCTAACACAAATAATTTTATAAAGCAAATATTGTAGAGAATAGAGGAACAAATTCACAATTTTGACAGTCTCGGTAATCACAGCTTGGCTAATTCAACAAATTTTTCTTTAGTTTAACAAAAAAAATATTTTTTGTGTAATTATAGAGTAATTTTTTATAATCAAAAAACAAAAATGTTGAAAGGAGTGGTAATAATTAGGGCTCGGATTTTTATGGTACATTCTATTTTTTGAAAAATATTTATGATGAATTGAGCTCAAATCCGTTGTTAGTTTCTGTTGATATTTTGTTTACTTTGAGGCCGAAATTTCAAAAAATGAAGACCAACTTTCCGAAAAATCTTCGTTGTGCTGACAAAACTTTTATGTTATACTCTAAGCATTAGACAAGACAATAGTAATAGCTTTAGATAATTTATTCAGTTATTTAATTAACATTTATTTAATTTACAAAGAGTAAAGCTTTATTTAATTTTCAACATTTTACTCAAAATTTATTCATTTAATTAAACATCCCCCTTTTCAGAACACTCAGAAATTAATAAGGAGGCGGCTTCTTGGTTGGTTTTTTAGGATAAGCATCAGCATTTATAGCAGGCACAAACACCATAGAGCAAGCAATCAAAAAAGCAACAAAAATTGCCATTAACTAAATAAATTTTTTTTGTTAATTTTTAAATTAAATTATTTACTACCTTCATTTTTAGTAGTAGAGAGTTATTAAAGTAGTTTTTAGTTAAAAGAGAGAGGAGAGAATGTTTTTGAATGATTTGTCACTAAAATTCAACAACTATTTATTCTATCCAATTTTTAATTTAATTTTCTTCCTTGTTTACGTGTCAAAACAATAGTGAAAGAGGGAATTAATAAGGCCCCTCGATCTCGGTTTTTCCAGTCGGTGATCCTCGGTCTTGGTTTTTTCAAAGAACCTTACAACTCTAATTTAAATTAAAATTTCTTCCTTGTTTATGTGGCATATTTGATTGAAAAAAAATAATTAGTATTTTGTCATACACAATTGTTATTATATTAGTTGTTGTCTTTTTTATAGAAAGACACACATCCCATTAATTGTAAATGTTATTTTATTTTTTAATTTATCAAAAAATTTATTTCCTTTAGAAATATCCAACACTTCTAAAAATTAAAAAAATCAGGGGTAATTAAGAAAAAATATTCTTACTCATCTAAAATAAAATTTTATTTTTTTAAATTTTTTTCTAATATTTTCTAAATTCATGTGAATTCTTTAAATAAAAAAGCAAGCTTTCTTTTATTCATTTACCAAATTTTTATCTATTATGTTTAGGTTTCCAACAATTAAAAATGCTACAAACTAGCATCAAAAATCAAAACTTTGTTTAAATTATTCAAACAATATTTTTATTCTTACATCATTATTTTCCTTTTGATTTTATTTTTTTAAAGAAGAATTTCTTCAATTTTTTTTAAATTGAGGAAATTGATATAATGTTGACAACACGACAATTATCAAAAATATTGTGAAAATAATGTGACTAAATACTAATTATTTTTTTTTCAATCAAGTATGCCACGTAAACAAGGAAGAAAATTAAAATCAAAATTGGATAGAATAAATAGTTGTTGAATTTTAGTGACTAAAATCATTCAAAAACATTCTCTCCTCTCTCTTTTAACTAAAAACTACTTTAATAACTCTCTACTACTAAAAATGAAGGTAGTAAATAATTTAATTTAAAAATTAAACAAAAAAATTTATTTAGTTAATGGCAATTTTTGTTGCTTTTTTGATTGCTTGCTCTATGGTGTTTGTGCCTGCTATAAATGCTGATGCTTATCCCAAAAAACCAACCAAGAAGCCGCCTCCTTATTAATTTCTGAGTGTTCTGAAAAGAGGGGATGTTTAATTAAATTGAAAATTGTAAAAGAGCGCTACTTGATGTAATTTAAAATATATGTTAATTAAATAAATAATGTAATTATCTTGTGTATATCAGAAAAGTTTGTCAGCAGTTTCTGTTAAATATCGGTAACTTATTCGAGAGGGTTCTGTAAAAGGGATCTAAAGAAAATATAGAAATATAAGAACAAATCTCACAAAATCAACAAGTTGATAATAAAGTCATGACGACCGATTTAAAAGTATTTAGGTTACTCGGTTTTCAAAAATGGTCTAAAAATGTTTTGGGTTATAAACAAATATCGGGTTTATTATGGGGAGACTTCTAAAGAAATCGTTGTGTTCAGTTTAAATTTTTAGCAGTTAAATTTTAATAAAAAAGCAACTTTTTGATTTAGAAATTGGTCTTAACCTGATAATGACCAAAATACAAAGGGTTTTTGGTTATTTTGTCCATTCAATAGTAAGTACTTTAATGGGATAGCATGCCGCTATTTATATAGTAATTACCCAAATTAAAATCACCATTCTAGCTATCACTTGATCCTAAAGTGCGATGAAGTCTTAAAGTCTCTCTCACTTCAAGAAAATTTGAAACAAAATTTTATCGAAAAATTAAAATATTTTTTAAAAAATTTTTAAAAAAATCATACAATAAATATCAAGATATAAATAAATGAGATCACATTTCAAAAAATAATTTGATAATAACAAAATTAAAAAATATCTCTATAGCAATGATATTCTGGGTTCTCGCTTCGTGAAAATTTTTAAAATTTTTCAAAAATCTTTTTTAAGACAATCACAGAGATCTCAAGATATCTTTTTTAGTTTTTAATTTTTAAATACCGTATTTATTCTAATAGTACTACGTCTCTATTTGAACCACGGTCTCTAATATAACCACATCGAATGGAGAGTTGAAAAATACAACCACAGTCTCTAATATAACCACATATCTCTCATACTCTTAAATACATAAGTACTATAATTCTCGTTAACCTTAACAAATCCAGGAAAGCCCATGGCATATTCAGTAGGAGAATTTATGAGAGCTAAAGTGTCGGGGGATTATGAGGAAAATGAGATAAAGTGGATTATGAGGAAATATAGAAAGATTTGGGAGGACTAAGAAGATGAGGAGAATTTGATCTATACGAGGATTTGGGGGATTGAGAATGATTAAGATAAATTAAGAGGTTGTGAATTTTTACAGAATTAATAGGAATCCAATTCTCTTGCTATACCAGTGTATCAACTCTAATTGTTCCCTTATAAATGCCTCCATTCCAAAACTTTAATATAACAACGAGGTAGGAGTTCTTAGTAAATTTCTTAGGTTCTCTTACTAGGAAACCGAGTTGAGGGTTAGATCTTATTATAGAAAATCGACATTCTTGTTAAATCTGGCGCCGCAGTCGAAAATCTAGAGAATTTTGAATCGAGAAACCACCAAATTGATTAAAAATTATAATTATTTTTGGAGAATATGACAAGAAAAATTCTCAATATTTTTCCTATTTTTCCTAAAAAAGATTGAAAAATAAAGCCACAGTCTCTATTTGAACCACAGTCTCTAATATAACCACAAAAATCGAAGGGTTGAAAAATAGAACCACTGTAGTACTATTAGAATAAATACGGTAATTAGATGTGCCATAGTAGATATTCGACAATAAATGTAAACAAAATATACACTAAAATTACATTTAAGATTTAAATTTATAGGAGAAAATAAAAATATTTAGGATTTGAATGGATGTTAGAATATAGGAATTTGTATAATAATATAGGAAATTAATTAAGGAAAAATAGATTATAGGAATTAGTTTTTTATAAAGGAATGATTCGAAGAAATTATTTTTGAAGAAAATAAAAATTTGCACTATTTTTTGAAAAAAAAGAACAAAAAACAAAATAAATTTAATCAAACCTAATTAATGTTAATCAGACTCAGAGCTCTCAGATAAATTAAAGTATCTTCAATTTAAATATTTTATAAGGCCATAGAAAATTGAGGGCTAATCAAATATTAGATCAGCCAGGATTTAACTAGATTTCCTTATACATATTAGGTGCGGACATAATTAGTGGCCGTTTTTTAATTTGGATTTTTAGAATTAAGTTCTTTCAGAATATTTTTTATTTTTTTTTTTCGTATCATTTGTTAGTGTCTTTTCTAAAGGATCCTAGAATTTGAGAATTTTTGATTAAGTATTCAGGGAGTTCTGATCGAAAATGTCAAAATTTTCGAAATCTTCGAGTTTTTGAAAAACTCATCCTTTCTCAGTTCAAAATGTCTGAAGGGATATGTAGGTATAGAGGGTTATTTAATTTGATTAGTTATTTAATTAAACTATTTAATTCGATTAGGTTTGATTAAAATAAATGCTATAGTTAAAAAAAATATTGAAACAAATAAAGTTGTCGGTTCTAGGAAACTCTTCAGATATCCAAAACAGAACCGAATAACCTAACAGAAAAATCAAAGATTCAACCGAGAAAAGACAAACCCAAACTACAAATCAACTAATAAAAGCCTTCTCCAATAAAAGTATATTATAGGGCTTCTATTAAAGGATTTGGAAGCTCCAATAATTTTATATTTTTACCCAATTTCCCTCTCTTAGAAAAAGCTGTGAAGGTTGTGAGAAGCCAAAAGCATTAGCAGCAACAACAACTAATTCATTAACGGAAGAGGCTAAAATTAATTTCTTTGATGTCCCATTTGAAGATCTGTGCTGCCAAAACCCCCCTTCTGACCGCCAATAAATATAATAAATATCAGCTCTATCAGAATTGTCATAATTAATTAAAAGAGAAATTGAAGTTGATAATAAATTATTTTCTTGAGTAATTTGTGCTTTCAGGTTGCGAACAACACTTGGCCTGTTTTGAATTCCAGAAAGACGGCATTGCTTTAGAGAAATAAATTTTTTTAATTTAATGCAATAAAATTTTGATAATATTTTGAAGGTTCTCCAATCCCATTTTTCTAGCTTTCTTGAGCTGAACAGCTAGGGCCGAATTCCCAGGTATTTTGCCCTAAATTTATTCAATACCTCAGCCGTAGCAACATAATCCAAGCAAAGTGAGGGCATTAAATTAGGTGCTTTTTGTTGATGATCGCAAAGGTAAAGACATTGAGAAGGCACCTAAATGAATTTAAAATTATCAATTTTTAATTTAAAAATTAGTGATTAAGTGAAAATGGTATTGGGTTTCCATTCATTTCCCAATTTAGAGAGATCCTTAGACACTCTCTCAAGTCAAGTTTTTAACATGTCAAAGTTTCCCATCAACAAAAATAATTCAAAAACCTCTTTAATCAAGCAGCAAGCGCTTTCATCAACCAAAGGCATTGCACATGCAAGTACCTATAGCTTTGAATGTTATTAATTTTAAATTGAAATAAAATAATCAAAAACCTTAGAAATCTCTCCACTACAATTTTGTCTCATAAATGGTCTAGGGACATAACGACGATTTTCTGAATCAGTCATACCACACATTAACAAACAACGTTTATTTACACCACTACGGGCACTTAAAAATTATTTTTTTTTAATTCATTTCAAAGAAAAAAATTTAAATCACACACCAACACTGTCGGGGCATTTCTGGAGGAGAAGCTAGAGGCATCTGTACTGTACTCATTGCTAAATGGACAGTAGCTTCTGTCTCTCCAAAATCGTCTGACTTAAAAAAAGTTTTTTTCGGAGTTTTCTTTTTTATTTCCTACCACTTTACATTTGTAAAGTCCATAATCCTCAGGCTTTGTTGTTCTAATGTGTAGCTTGGCTAATAGTTCCCTCGGTCTGAACTTTGAAAAGACGTAATGGCTTTGTGATATTCTTTCTTAAAAGAATAAATTTAGGCCATAAAATTTTTTTACAAATTTTCAATTTTAATTGAACATAAATTTAAGCTTTAGTGGATATACTAAAATATATTCACCATTTATTGGTTCAACAACATGAAAATGCCCGTGTCGTTGTTTCTCTTGTCGATGCTCCCATTTTATTTTAAGACTGGTTCTCGTTGAATTTCCACTAAAAATATTTTTAAAATATTTCATAATAGAATATTTAATGCCTTGTCCGAATTTTACAAGCCAATAAAGTTTCTGAACATAAAGCCGCGTATATTTTATCTTTGAAAGGTCTAGCTTGTGGTGCAATTCCAGATGTCTTTGAAAAAGAGAAGATAATTTTTTGAAAAAATCTAAGGATGAGATAAGCACCTTAAATCTCAATTCAGTAGGTAAAGAACGTGGAAGTTCGTTTTCATCTTTAGAAGTTCCAAGGCCGAGAGCTATTATTTGGAGTAGATAACCTAGAAAATTTTTAGGCAATCCTTGTTGAAATAAAATTTTAAAAATAAAAAAAAGTATTTTCCGATTATTAGACCAATCCAAAAGGAGAGGGTATAACCGGTTTGGTTTATAAATAGAGATCGGTCTCGATTATCGAACAAACTTCGACAATTCTTTTTCTAATTTTCCTTCCAAAATTTCATTATCTAATAATAATTTACGTGTTCCAGGCTCCAATTGATTAATTCTAGCTTCCTTAGACACCGTTTCAATTCTTAATTCTGTAGATAAATCAGCCTTTTCTGAACCAGTTTCCAATTCGTATATATAAAGCAGATAATGATCAACTATTTTAGCATTGTGTTCTGGTTCTTGCCAACTCAATTCTGCCTTTTATTAGAATAAAATATTTTTGATTTGCTTAAAATATAAATGATAATGATAAAAGAGAGATCGTTAACTAAGGAAAAAAAATTAATTTTCTGCTTTCAGAGAGAGAGAAAATTTTAATGAGATCTCCTCAAACTATAAACGTTGATTGGAAGAAGATACTAAGATTCGTACTTGTATTAGGATGAAAGGAAAAAAGTTCAATACGAGATACGAGAAAAAGTGTTAAAAGTCTTAAAATTCACCTCAGTAGAGCTGACTTGACCAATAAGTAAATTCCTTGGTGGTGATGGAATTTGTTGATATCCCTTCTCAAAACTAAATTATAATTTAATAATAATTTTCAATATTAATCAGATAACCAGGAAAACATTGATGCAAGGTTTAAAGCAATACAGGTCTGATAGGCACTTGCCCTGTGAAAATGGCCATCCCCTCGACAAAGACCTGAAAACATTAAATTAGACTACTATGTATCCTAATTCTTCGAATATATTATTAAATAGTATTTTAATCAGCTGCTGGAGAGGGTAAATAATAAAGAGATAATTTGACAATAATTATTATTTTTCATGATAATTAATAGATTAATAATTAGTAGAAAGATGCCCTTCTTTAAAATCAAAATAATTTAGGGTATCTTTGTATTTTTAATTTCCATTGCTCTTTTAGTTTTTTAAAAAAACTTGCCAAAACAGGCATTTTCTTCCAAATCTTTAGCCTCCCTCGAACAACAAGGAGAGTGATCGCGACCAGCGGCAAGGCATTTAGCAACTGAATCTAAATATCTAGAACAGTTGTTGCGCCTATCAAATACGTCATAGACATCAAAATCACTGGGCGGGGAAGCCTTGAAAATAGAAAATTTTCTTTTTTTAAATTTATCTTTTATTCTCCAAATTAATAAGGAAATTTGTGTTTTGTCTTTTAATTAAAACCCTCAATTAAATGAATTAACAAAAATAAATTTACAGGGTTGCAAAGAGTCCGAACACAAATGTTTGGTATTCTTTCCTGAATGCAGCATTGTTCAACAGAAACAGAAGCATTACAGTAATCTAATGTTGAAATTAATCCGATAAAAATCCAAAAATTATTAGAGAATAAATGTTGAGTATTGAATATTGATGTTAATTTAACTTCGAAGCCCTCTCTAAACCTTTGGAGCATCGACGGAAAATATTTGGGAGAGAAGGAGGAAAAGGTGTTGTTTCCCCAATATTTTAATTAAATAATAATTAGAAAAGTGACATTTGTACAGAAATTAATTATGTATAGATATATTTGACAATATGTTCAGATAATAATTATCTACAAATAAAGTTTAGTTATTAATTAGGGTTAAAAATTTTTGTGTAAATGTGAATATGAATAAACGAAATTAAATTAAAACTCATAATAAAAATCAGAAGAATAAAATCAGATTAAAAATCGGAACGAAATCAGAATCAGAAAAAAACCAGAATATCAACTCGGAATAAAAAATCAAAGTAAAAATCAGAATAAAAATCGGAATAAAAACAGAATAAAATTCAGAATAATAAATCAGAATAATGAATCAGAAAAAAACCAGAATATCAAACCAGAATAAAATCAGAATAGCAAATCTAAATAAAACCAGAATATACATATCATCACAATATAATTCAGAATATATCAGAATAACTAATCGGAAAAAGAAATCAGAACAAATAAAAAAATAATTAAAGAAAATCAGAAAATCGGAAGCAACAAAAGAAAAGTTCACAAAACTACGCGTAACAATATTAATTAATTACCTTATTTAGAAGGCTTATTTAACTTTTCGTTCAAAATCAAAGGAAATAAAAATTAAACAGCTGACTAATTTAAAATTACAAAAATATAAAAATATAAAAATGATAATAAAAATGGGAAGTAGTCAGAGATTGGTTAATTAAATATCCAATATCACTGCGTAACAGAAATATCACATTAATCTTTTTTGAAAAAAAACTATTAAAAAAAGTCAATTTTAGGAGAATTTAAATTCCTTTTTTTAATTAACAAAGAGGCATTTTTCTTTTTTGTTTTTATTTTTTGATATTTGTATAAAAATATTAGAGACCTTGAAGTAGAAAAAGTGACGTAACGGAGTCTAAATGCCGATTATCGATATTTACTGTGTGAATTTATACTCTCTTTATTCAAGATATGACTTTCTTATTTGTAAAAAATTGTTAGGCTTGTATTAAGATTAAACAAAAATTAAATGTAAAAATGAATCTAAAAGATTATAGTTGTCAGGACATTAGAAATGCTCGAAGCGAGATAATGATTGTGACGAAATATACAGGGTGTTTCAACAAGAAATACTATTTTAAAAATCCATAACTTTTTTCTGCGTTGCCAGATTTAGTTAATTCTACAGAATTTAGTTAATCTTAACAGAAATCTCTAAAGTGTTTTTAGTTTCAGTTTCGTGTTAATCATTTTTATTTTTTATAAAAATACATAAACTATCGAGTTAAAGAGAGAGTAATTATTTATTTTCAAGTTGCATAAAATCACGTCAAAAAATTAAAAATAAATTTCCAGACAAGAGAAAATAAAAAAATTTTTCTATCAAAAAATTATTCTTTATTCTTTTTTCATTTTCTCTCATTAATCTTTTCACAAAAAGTACTCAAGTTTTATTTAATATAAATACAAAAGATAAAAACAGACAGGTTTTTTTAAATTCTTCCTTTTTTTAAAAAGAAAATTTTTTCATTTTATCAATTAATTTTGTATTTACAAAATAAATAAAAATTAAATTAACTAATTTCACGTGTATATGCAAGTGTAACTGTTGGGAAAAAGAATAAAAATATTGACGTAGAAAGTAAAAAAATCAAGATAAAATTGGTATCAGAATTTTGGACACGGGAATTTTGGTCACCATACGAGAAAAATGTATCTTATCTAAAACTGATATTAAAGTAATAAAAAATTGTTTTTCAACCCCCAATTGATCAATTTCAATGTTGATCACTCTCTCGGCTAATAATTTTTCCGGGAGAGTGAGTCAGTTTTAGATAAGATTCGTTTTCTCGTTTGGTGACCAAAATTCCAAAAAGTGGTAAACAAAGTTGCGAAAAATAATGGTGACAAAAATTCCAGTATCCAAAATTCTGTACACCAGATAAAGATAGGGGTTGACATAAAAAAGGAATTATTGTCTCAGATACTTGGACTATAAATCTGGATAGCATCACATCTATTTACAAGCAAATCTTGACCAATATATAGGCCCAGAAAATGACTTTCCCGGTATATTAATATTTCGGTACAATACCGAAAACACGTCTCAAAGCTTGCCATAAAATTGATGAGAAGTTTCCAATTTTCAGATAGGTAACAAGATTCTCACTTCTAAATAAAGTGACATCCCTCGATTAACCGTTTCAAAGATAGTAATTACCCAACTTAATTATTTAAGCATAAACATACTATCTGCTATTTTTTTCGATAAATCTCTTTTCGCTACTATACATAAATAGGTATTTCATTATTGCCTAATTAATGTCTTTGGGACAGATCTCAAATATTTTTACCATTTTTAAACTTTGATGAAAAATCACATTAAATATCAAAAAATATATTTTCTTATTAGGTCAGAATTATAGTAAAATAATATTGAAAATAAAAAGAAAAATGGGGGAAGTATAATTGTGACCTCCACGCGGTCATTTAGAGGAAGGAGAGGGGGGAGGGGAAGGGATATTTGTAAAGAAAATGTGGAAATGAACGTAAAAATATGTATATTTAAAACCAATTTATTTATTTTCGGGGAAACGAACAAAAATTTTAAAGGAACTTTTGTAAAATTAAAAATAAATTTGTCTTGACCTATTTTTTCTGTTTGTGACACATTATTTTAAAATGTTTCTGTAAATTTACTCAATAATTAAAAAAACGAATATCAAAAGAATTTGATTTTTAATTCAATCTGATCTTAAAACAAGTATAGTTGTAACATCCGATTAATAATTGAAAAAAATGATGAAAATGAAGGAATCAAAGGATTGTAATTTAAATCAAGAAAATCAACAAAAAAATTAAGTGATGGGAGAATCTAAAAATTTAATGGGGTATTCTCGCCTCATAACATAATTTATCAGAGTTTGTCACAGAGTAATAATCGAGTTTTTCTATAGATATCACAAATCTTTCTTTGAGATTATCGATATTAACTCTCAAAAAACTATTTTCGGAACAAATAATCCACACACTTTTGAAAGAAATTTACTATGTTTTTAGCAAAGCCTTAATTCCTTCTAAAATGCCAAAACACACTTTCTGCTAAATTAATGTACTTTTTATTGAATATATTATTTTATTAGGCACGCAAAAACTTATTAATAATTGTATTTCTATTATGTATAAATTTCTGTAAATGAAAAAAAAAACATTCAAGATTAAATAGAAATTGAGGTGATAAATTTAAATAAAAATTATTATTATTATTTAAGTTTTGCATTAAAAATTGCTTCTCAAAATAAAATATTTATTTAATTATTTTGTTGTTTAACCAACAAATTATATACTAAAATATTACTTTAAATGACTGTAAAGGTTGCAGACAATAATAAATAATTAAATATACTAAAATAATTTATTAAATATAATCAATGATTATTGAGAGAAAAAGAGACAAAAATGGGGGGGGGGGGTGGTGAAGTTTTTAATCTGCGCGAAAGCAATTATTATTATTATATTTTTATTATTATCTTTTATCTTAATTTTTTGTGGTTAATTAAATAAAATTAAAAAAGAGATATTTAAATTGGGAAAAAGAAAAATAATCTTAAAAATTTTAAATTTTCTTCTGGTAAAATAATGTTTGCGTATTTACTTAATCCTTTTCGTTGGAGGAAATAACTAATGATTTATTAAAAAATTCGAGGAAGGGTAATCAATTGAAAAATAGTTAATTAAACCACCATACTAATCAACTAACATTTTAGTGATTTGATTTGGAGCTAAATTCAGTTTCGATGCGAGGAATAATTTGGATTTTTTGATTATCAAATATAGCGAGAATGCGAGTTAAAATATAAGAATTATATTACAAACGATTTCCAAACTGATAATTTCAGAGATTTAAATAATAATTAATTAAATTAATTAATTTAAAAATTTGTTTAACTAACCCCTAACATTTTTTTTTGTAAAATTCGCCCTTTTCAAGGAAATACCCCTCTTTTTTCTAAAACCCCATCTGACAACCATTAGTCTTTCAAAAAATAGTCTGTCGTTTATTTAATCACAACAAAATAAAAACGCAACATTTTGAGAAATTAAAATAAAAAATAAATTAGAATAAATTATCTTCACATGAATTTATACTGATTTTTGAAGGTTAATTGAGCGATAAAACGAGTTGGGAGATGTATAAAAAATTTTTTCAAAATTATTTTGAATAAAAACAAAAATCAAAACTTTATTAGTTAGCAATTGGTGAGGGTGCTTCTAAGCATTGCAACTTTTAAAAGAGTGATGGGTTATGTCTAAATTGTAGGTAGATTTAGAGAATTGGAATAATAAAGAACATTAAATTGTGTAATATAAATGAAAGAATTTGTAATAATTAAGTAAGATTTGTTTCTTGGAGGTGGTTTATGAGAGATTAATAGTTAAAATCAAAACTTTATTATTTTACGGGTTTTGAAGCATCAAACTTGATATAGTTGAAATTCTATATTTATCAGAGTGGAATCTTTCTAATATATCACCCCTGGGACAAAATTTATTACAATTATAACTACATATGAATGAAAGTGACTAGATTTTTTGTATCTTCGGTTCGGGCGATCCAGAACCGACAACCCTAAAAGTGACATATGAGGGTTAGATTATTTATAATCTTACACTCTCAGAAATATAGACCATAAATTTTAGAATTACCTAATTTTTTAACAATTAAAAATATTCTCTATTGACTATTTTTAATTATTTATTATCTGTGTGTTTCACCTTGTGCACAACCGGTAGATAAAAGTTATCTTCAAAACTATTTTAGTGTTTCATTCAAAATACCACAAAATTAATTTGATTTGACATTTTACTAATTAAAAATTAAATTTTTGAAGAAGAGATTTTTTGTATAAATTTAAAAAGCGGAAATGATTATATAAAAAAAGAAGAAAAGAAATTTTCAAAGAATATTAAAATTTGTTAAAAATTTTTTTGGTGGCTCCTTTAATGTAGAGAAAGTTTGATTGCACCTCAATCCACCCTATAACCCGTTATTTTTATTTAATTCAATATCTTTACTGAAATTAATAACACAAAACCGAGTACCTAATCCTTGTCCTCTACTTTCAATTGAATAAATCAGTTGAGTGTTTGGGTTAATCAAACAATAAAAGTTTATTTATTTATCAACAAACATAGGTATTTCATAAACAGTTACATAAAAATATAAATAAATAAAATCATACAATGCATAAAAACAAAAAATTTCAAATTATAAATAAAATTAAATAATTAATTAATTCTCGAAAATAAAATTTATTTTAATATTCTCGAAAAATAAAAGAATTAATTGTCCGCTTAAACAAAAATAAAGCCTTTTTATA